GTGAAGTCAGCCATTGCCAGGCAGGGGGGCCTTGTGGATCTGCTCTGGTGAGTCCAAGCAGGCTTTTCTCTTCCTGGTGCCAGAATTCCTTGTTTGGGTTCTGTCATGTGCTCATGGGCTGTAGAGCTCCATTTGTTTCTTGCTTAGGGTAGAGCAGGCCTCTGGAGGAATGTTCTTCTGTAGAAGGGACCAAAGTCTTTGCTTCTTCTGTATGCTGGGCATCAGGGCTTTATTCTGTGATTGTAGCTTGCATTGGGATGCCCTGGGTTTGACTTCTTTCTACTCAGCAAGGTGTGTTCAGCTTGGGAACTTGCTTTCCCAGGCACTAAGGTCTCAAAGCCCAGGAGGCAGGCAGGCAGGCAGTCTCCTCTAGTGGTACTAGAGTAGCTCATGTTTCTGGCAGAGTTGCTATTTAGAGCACAGTGCAGGGCCATGGGGGCAGCTCCAGGCAGAACCAGGTAAGAAAGTGATGCCCTCTGGAGACAGGTGGTCTGCAGTGTGCCCTGGCAGCATGTGGTACAGGGGCAGCTGCCAGCACTCACTGGAATTCTGACTTGCCCTGAACAGTCCCAGACAAAGAGGTGCCTGCCTGCAGCCTCTCTGACATGACTTTCTCCCCAGGGATGGAGGACTGAAAAGAGAGAAGGTGAAAGACGCCTTCAAGGAGGAGCAGCAGAAACTCTACAGCAAAATGATTGTAGGCAGCCATGAAGACCGGAGCCGCTCCTGAGTCTGCTGCCTCCAGCACTGCCACTGGGGCTGGCCAAAGCCTCCAGCACCAACCAGGGCTTGTTTGGAGCAACTCTGAATCTTTGGACTTGGGCTACTCCAGAGCTGCTTGGACTCACTCTTTCATCCTCTGGCTGTTGTTTCCCGGAGGCACTATTGCTGCCTGGAGTCTTTAGGCCTTTGGCAGCTCGTGGCAAAGATGCCTTCTTGTTACTGTTACAGTGAAGCCCCTTGCAGGGGCAGTATTAAATGAAACTCTTACGGTGTCGTGTGCTTCCATCTGGTGTGTCCAGCCCCAGGGAAGGACTGGTGTGTTGTGCGTGTGTGTCAGTCACAAGTCTGCCATAGCACAAAAGCTGATGAGCTGTGCTGAAATTGGCTGCCTTGACAACCAAGCCTTGACAATCATAAACCTGTGCCCCTTGTGTGTGAGGCATAAACCCCTTAGGAGCAGAATGTGGTCTCTCAGGCCATTTCCAGATCCACTTCCAGGAGAAATATTTTGCCATCTTCCTGTCAGCTTGACCCAGACTCTTCTACAGTACCAGCCACTTCTCTGCTCCTGCTGCAGTAAGGATCATACTCCTTGGAAACCTCCTCTGTCCCCTGGGGCTGTGGGGTACCAGGTGTCACTGCAGTGGTAGGTGGGGCTCCTGAGGAATCTGTACGTGCTACAGTGGCAGCCTAGGGTATGTAGGAGAGCCCAAGACTTCATGGTTAGGGCAGCAAATCCCTTTTCAAGTCTCTCCTGAAGGAAACAGTGGTATCTGACCTTGTCATGTACACACATGCATAATATCAACTTGTTGCAAGAAAACGGAAATCTTGTGCTAGAGGTGGTGCCCTTTTCTGCTCTGCAAGTGAATTATTCAGTAAAACAACTTGCATTTGAGCAGTTGTCCCATGTACTGTCCCATTTTCCTTACATTCCCACAAACTTGAGCACTTAAACTGGGTTCTCTACTCTTACAAGCAAGAGCTGTTTCACTGCTACCTGCTGAAGCCTGCTTGCATTTTCTAGCACTCTGGAGAAGGCAGTTACCTAAGTGCCTCATATGAACGTCAAGTACAAGTGTTTGTTGGGGAGGCCATCTGCTATGCCAGGTGAGGACAGCTGTTCTGTTAAGTGGCCTTAAATCTGAATTTTCTTGTGCTCTTTTTTTTTTTTGTTTGTTTGTTTTTTTGTTTTGTTTTGTTTTGTTTTTAATTTGCCTGATGGAACTTTGCTGCTCTGGCTGCAAGCTCAGGGCCATGTGGATGAAGACCCTTGCACTGTGCTTTGGTCTGGCGAGCCCTGGAGGGAGCCACAGTGAGCCATGGGTTGCCGAGGCCATGCCGTGCTCGCTGTGGGTGGCCCTTCCCCGTGTGCTGCAGCTGGGGACACAACTGCTGGGGACATGGACATCACTGCTTGCTGATCCCTGCTGCCCAGGCAGGGTCTCCAGGCTCTCCTGCACTTCTCCCCGTTCAGCAGCTGCTCCTGAGCCCTCTCAAGGGCTGTGCCCCGAGAGCTCTGCTGTCCAGGGGTGGTATGGACATTTTCTTCACGCACTGCTGAAGGCCACAGGCCTCCCCCACGCCGTTGCCATGTCCTCAGGTGCTTGGACCCAGCTGCAGCTGCCCGTAAGGCTCCAGCCTGCGGCTGAGTGCCCTGTCCCTGACACCATGGTGATGTGCACCCTCCTCAGCTTTGCAGGACTTCCAGCCGTCCTGCTGTGCTTGGAGACCATCCCCAGCAGCATTCAGGACACTCCACAGCAAGCAAGGAGCTGGCTGGACAGGTTAGGAGGCACACATCCATCTTTCCTTGGCTCTCCCACCCCATGCCCCTAGTCAATATGTCTCTCTCCGATGAGAAAGTTAATAAATTTAGCTCTAGATTAAAAGTATCGATCATTTCATTTGTAAGCAATAAATAACCGGGCGGGGAGCACTGGGCGGCCCACGGGGTAGGGGCTGCTGGTTCTGGCTGCAGCAGCCGTGCACCCCACTGGGGCCAGGAGCCCTCATATGCATTCTGCCCGGATGCTGGCATTGATTTGCTATTAGTCTCCACGCACCACCCAGTAGCACATCATTCCCGGAGCTGCTATTAATGGCCTTTTGATAAATAATCACTTGTAAGTCAATAAATTTTTATTAAACAGTGTGGCGCTTTGATTTATGAAAATCCGACGGGGTTTGTCTGGGAGAAAAGGGATGCAGAATTGAAGCGGAGCTGCCATCCATCTGCCTGCCAGGCTGGCCTGCCTGCACCCGCACCACGACTCCAGGCTCTGCCCACGCAGCCCGAGGCTGCCTGGCACCAGGCACAGGGTGGGCAGAGCTATGCTCACTGTGACTGCTCCTGTCCAGAGCTCGGCGCTGATGGGGCACCACTGCCGCAGCAGCAAGGGGCCTGTGGGAGCCACAGTGGGCAGCGCTGGGACGAGAGGGTGTCAGTCCTGGCTACCGGGCTGGGGCCCTGCAGGGATCAGCACTGTTTGGGGGCCTGTCTCAATGTGGGGATGCACGGGGCAACCAGGCTGCAGCAGCCATTTGTCACTCTCCCTGGCTACAGCAGGCCCTTTGCCACCTGCTTTATTTGTCTCCCAGCCCTGACGTGGCATCAGACAGGTGTTAAACTACTTAATCACTTTAAAATTGTTTTAATTTTCTGTTTTGTATTGATCTCCACAGCACCAATTAATCAGCTCACTGGACCAGGCAGTTAGTACATTAAAAATTGTCAGCCAAGCTGGGCAGCTTAGAAAATGTTAAAAAAATATCCCACCAGCAGCCCCTCACTTCTCCCACCATGTGGAACCTGCTCCTGCTGAGCACCAGCTCTGTCCACAGACAGTGACGTGTCTCTTCCACCAGCCCTGTGCACCATGCTCCCATGGGACCTGCCATCCCATATCCTTGCAAAGGGTCCATTGGCTCTGTCCTGGCCCAGCCTCTGTCTCATGGAGGCAGTGGAGGGGCTGCATGGCTGAGGGGGGAGCATTAAAAGCCCCATGCTCACTTCAGGGGCTGGACAGGGACCTGTGCAGGGACAGTAGTCCCCTAAGCTCTGAACAAGTGGGCACTGAGCAGTCAGGTCTCCTTGCAAAGGGCCACAGCCCAGTGAGAGACTGGAGAGGGTTTTAAGCCAAGTGTGGGCCTTGACAGGTTGGACAGCAATGATCTGCAGCCCTACACAAGGCTGGTGCTCAGGGCCACTGAAAGGTCCCAGTGCTCAGGAGCTTCAGCTGTCCCAGGCATGGACTGGGCCACCAGTCCATTGCAGGTACTGCCTGCAGCGGCAGGGAAGGGCATCCCTTCACCAGCCCCATTCCTATCTCTTCCATGCCTGTGCCATGCTGCTAATCAGCCCCTGATGGGCCGGCAGCACCTTATCTGCTATCGATTTCCTTCCAAGACACAGCCCACGTGTTTGCTCACACCTGGCTGGCACTTAGTTGGCTCTTGGCTGAAAAACTGTCCGGCCTTCAGCACTGTGCCTGTGCCAGCTGGAGCTCCTTTGGCGTCCTAAGCAGGAAAGGACAGCTGGCCCTGCACAGCACCCACAGCTGGCATGCCACTGGTGAGCCACGGGGAGCCGGAACAGGGGGTGTGCAGACCCATGTGCACACACACAGTCTGTATGTGCAGCCCCCATTGCACAGGGGTGCAGCACAGAGCGGGGGGGGCCCAACAGGTTGGCAGGCAAACACACTGGGGCTATTGATGCCACATCAATCCTGCAGCCCCGACAGGTGAATGGGCTCTCACTCACACTGTTAAGATAAATGATATTTATTTGCTGCTAAGAGCTTCCAATAAGAGGCCCCAATGAGTGACTTTTGAACCAGCAGCTCTTGCTGCTGGTACACGCCCAAACCAGAGGAAACCCTGTGAAAATCTCCAGGGCTCCCCTGTTTCTGTAGGCACTTCCTGCCCCACACACAGCACGGCCCTCTCCCCTGCCTGGCATGCAGACCCTACCCCGTACATCCTATCCCCAACCCTTCTCTGGCCCAGCCTCGCAAGTCCACCCTGGACCACACGCCCACAAAACAAGTGCTGGGACTTGACTGGGACCTTTATTTCATCAACGCCCATAACACAGCTGCACCTGATGCTACCACGTGTGCTTCTCCCAGCCCTGCAAGCCATTCTCCCCATCAGACTGTCAGCCATCCCATCCCAACCGCCAGGCACCTGCTGCTGAGGGGAGTGACCCCTGGCAGGACAGAGGTGGCTGGGCCAGTCACTCCCCGGCCCAGAGGGGCAGGCTGTGCTGGTGCTCAGCCGCTGTGTGTGCCCAAGCCCAGCATTGAGAAGGCTGCACGGTGCTTCCTCAGCAGCAGCCGGATCTTCTCGTCATCTGAGTCTGGGTCCAGGGGCTTGTTGTACTCATCGTCCTCGGTCTCAGAGGCCGCCCGCTCTCCGCCAGAGCCCCCCGCCCGCTGCGAGGATGAGGAGGGCTCCAGGGCGCTCTTCTTCCTCCATTTGGTCCGTCGGTTCTGGAACCAGACCTGTTGCCCCATGGGCCCAGCTCAGTTAGCAGCCAACATGCTGCACACCCCATGCCACACAGGGACCAATACTCACCTTCACCTGAGACTCAGTCATGCCAAGAGAATAGGCCAGCCGTGCTCTTTCCGGACCCGCCAGGTATTTGGTCTGCTCAAAAGTCTTCTCCAGAGCAAAGATCTGGTGTCCCGTGAAGGTTGGGCGCGTGTGCTTCTTCTTGTGGATGCTGTCAGCCAAGTGAGCAGGGGCTACAGGAGAGGAAGAGAGAAGTGGGTGAGCTCTTGGCAGCCCAGAACTCTGGACGGCTCTTCCCTTGTCCACACTCACCGGCCCTCAGTGACCAAACAGTCCCTCCACACCTGCTCCCCTCTAAATTAAAACTGTATTACTGTTTCAGGGCTTCATCCCCATCCCAGGAAGGCTGAGCTGCCCACTGTTCAGGTCCCACACAGCCAGAGCCAGGCTAGGCACCTCCCGATCAAGGACAGTGCTAAGTGGTTGTGCTGAGAGTATAAGGGTTGCTATCAACAGTGCTTGACCCCAGAGCCATGCAACGATGGGAACACTGTGCCCCCATGCCCCACACCTTGCAGGACACACGGCAGAAGACAGGCAGAACTGGTCATTGGCGCGTAGCTGTGCCAGGAGAAGATGGCCAAAATGCCTAACCCATCTGCACCAAAACCATCAGCAAAGGGGTAAACGGGACCAGAGCTGCAGTTCTGAGCAGCTGCACCCAGCCTCCTGGGGCTTCCCATGGGACAGTGGATGCATCCATCCTACCTAACCCAGCAGCAACATGCTCTGCAATTCCCCTGACAGCTCTCCACCAGGAAGGTAGTGCTGGGGTCTGGGGCTGGCCATCCTGCCTGTCTCTGCCACAAACTAAACCAGGCACTGAACCCCAGTGAGACTGGCTGAGAGACAGGCAGATCTTGTCAGTCAGAAGGCTCTGCCTGTCCTTGCCAGCTGTGGCTGCCTGGGGTCAAAGCATTAGCATTTGCCATTATAGCTGCCCCTGTCCTGAAGCCAAAAGTTCTGTGACAGTTTGAGGTCCGGCAGCTCTGGCACTGGGGTCTTTCCCATTGTCCTGGTTCCCACTGGCCTGCTGGCCAACCAGCTGTGCCTTGTGTAGGGCGATGGAGAAGACACAGCCTGCCCCATGCCCTTGCCTATTGCCGACAGGTCAGGACTCCGCAAGGTGCCCGTCACCACCCAGCACCCAGCCGCTCCGAGCCCGCTACTTACGGCCGCCGCACTGCCGGCCGCCCCGCCACTCCGGGGCCGCCTCCGCCCAGCAGCTCCGTGCCCGCGGCAGGTACTCGCCACCAGCCTTGGAGAGAGCGCCCACCTGGGGCCCGTAATAGACGCCCGGGGAGCTCAGTCCGTTAAATCCGCCCGCGTGGGGGTAGCCAGGGAGGAGACTGCTGTTGGGTGTCGCCGCGGGCCGGCCCAGGATGTCTGAGATGCCGTGGGGGGTGCCAGCCGCCAGCTGGGCACCCAGTCCGGGGGGTCCCAGCTTGTAGAAGGAGCTCTGCACTGAGTACTGGCAAACAGGCGCCTTGGCCTCGGGGAAGGGGCCCAGCGAGGGGCCGTTGAGCAGAAAGGTGCCTGGCAGGTTGGCATCCATGGCTCTAGCAGCGAGGCGGCCCTCAGAGCCCGGAAACCCGGAGGTGCGATGGCTGGCCCATTACCACTGGCCTGGGGGCTACAGAGCCCCAGTGTCCGCCCTGGCCCGTGGCGCCTGGCTGGCACTGGGATCCCGGCGGGGGCCGGGGCCGCGGGCAGCCCGGGAAGCGCCCGGTGACCTCGCGGTGGCTCCGGCCCCGGACCCTCAACTTGGGCTTGGGCAGCGCCAACATTTCTCTGATAAAGACGAGCTCTATTAGAATATCGCGCGCCCATTGGCCGGCGGGCTGCGGGCGGCGCGCCTATTGGCCAGGCCTCGGCGGCCGCGGCTGCCATTGGCTGCGCCTCAGCGGCAGCGCGCGATTGGTCCGGCCCAGACAAATTGCGCTTTGAACGGCGGCGGCGGCGGTGGCGGCGGCGGGAGGGACGGGACGGGACGGGACGGGACGGGACGGGACAGGGGGACAGACCGGGTCGGGCCGGGACACGGGGATGGGTCGAGATGGGAAGGGACGGGACGGGGTGCGATGGGATACGGAGCTGGAACGCGGGGCGGCGCGGACGCTGGACAGCGCCGGTCGGGCCGGTGCTCTCGGCGGGGCCTCTCGGCCCGGGACTCAGCAACGCCGCTGTCTCGGGACAGCCGCCGCAGTGCTGGGGCTACCAGGGGCACCGGCTGCACGGACGCTTCCCCCCTCGCCCAGCTCGGGAGGAGCAGCCGCAGCCCTTCGGGCACGCTCCTCCTCCCTTCAACTCCCCCACGAATGGCAGAGCACAAGAATCCGCCGTTCCCACGGCTGCCGTCGCCCTCCCGGCAAGAGGAGACCCACCCCCGGGGTCTCCATCTTCCCCACCTTTGGAAAAGCAGAGACGAGACGCTGCTTGTGTTGATTTATTTATTAATTCATAGCTGGTGTACGGGAAATGATCTATACATCAGGGCCTAAGACAGGGAGATCCAAAAGGCTTTTTTCCATAACAATTAAAAAAAGAAAATAAAAGTTATTTTTAAAACTTCTAAAAAGCTTCTAGTGTGCAGACTGCAGCATTCTCTAGGCTCAATGTTGGGTGCAGCCTCCCCCTACCAGCCCTACAAGCAATCTGAGCGCGAAGCAATGTCACTGCAGGTGCCTGGCACGGTTGCAGCACAGCACATTCCCTACGGCATACACAAGGCCAAAGCACTGGACCCACACACAACTCTAGGGTGATGCTACAGAGTCAGCTGTTGCAGTGGGTCTAGGGAGGTTATTGTACGCAGCAAGGGTGATGGATGGAGAGTCTGTGCCCATATGGCTCAACTTTGGGGTGGGGAGGGGACTGCTTTGCTCTCCAAGGCTAAGCTGGGTCAGTTGCTTTGCTGCAGCGAAGCTTCTTCTCGGCCACAGGGCAGCCAGGGGCTCCCCAGCAGATGTGTACCCACTGAAAGGCAGGGCTGCCCTGCCAAGGCCACCATCACATGGCCTGATGCTGGAGGTGCGCTTGTTCTGCACCTGGCCACAGAGAACAAACTCAGACTTGGCAAAGCAGGTCCATGGCCACTTACAGGAGAAAGAGCAGGGGGTCCCCACATCACTGTGCTACAAACACCAGGTCCCCACATCAGTTAGGTAAAGGACAGGGTCAGGGACCTGGGACCAAGTGCCACCTGCGCTCCTGGGGTCAAGTATTACAACAGGTTCAATCTACTGCCCTACTCTGAGCTTCCTGGGCAGCTCTGCCCAGCACTGCTCTCCTGCTGGAGCAGCCAGTCTGAGGCTGCTCCAGCCCCCAGGGCTCAGGCTGCTGCCACAGCAGATTCCACCTGGAGAAAATGCAGCCACCGGGGCAGCAGCCCCATGTCTCTGGGATTGGTCCCGGGAGGGTCAGTATCCAGGGCTGTAACTCCCCTTGCAGGGAGGCCAGGGTCCCTGCAAAGCCCTTACCTGGGGTGCATATTGCACAGCTGTTGGCTATTGCTAGCTCCTGGCTCATCTCCTGAGCAGATATTGTGCTGAGTAGAGCTAGGCACAACCCCATGTGTGGCAGAAGCACCCACTGCTCTCTCTCACTGTACATCCTCCCTGGGCCCCAAGCACCTCAATGCAGGCCTACAGCTTCAAACCAGCTGGAGCCAACACAAACTGGGGCTGGACCTGGGACTGCACCTCTAGCCCCCCCTCTTCAGGCCAGGAAGGGGCCAGGCTCAGGCAGAGGGGCACAGGACAGGGGTGGGCTGCTGCCCTCTCACTCCTATAGCCTTCCTGCTCCATTCACCAGAGCTGCTCACATATTCCAAAGGCTTTTCCCATCCTGCAGCCTGAAGAGGTATTTGAGAGCAGAGCTGTTAGTGCTTTGTACATACTGCTAGAGTGTCCCTAGGGGTTTGCATAGTATTTATTGGTTCATATACACAAGGCTGATTGCTGTACAGTTTACACTTTCAACGTAAGCAACGAGCTCAGTGCTCAGCCCAGAGCTCTGCCCTGGTGGGAGACTGCACGTGCTGGGGAGAGGAAGGGCAGCCCTGCACCAGTCCCTCCGCCCAGTGCAGCTGTGCTTCCTGCAGCCTCCCCTTGCACCCTCTGGCCACTGCTGCCCTCCCCAAAACCCAACACTCACAGGGAGGGATGAGAAGCAAGTCCAGCAGAGGCAGCACAGGCATTTGCGGGGGGCCAAGCACCTCTCCTTCCGTGCTGAGCAGCGCCATGCTGTCCCAGCTTTCCTCTTGCAGCTGGAGCACAGACGTGGGGGATGCATCTACACACACAATCACACGGAGGTGGAATCTCTTTCCCTCTTGTTTTCTTCTATTCCAGCTCTTGCCTCCCAAAGGAGCTGAGATCACGCCCCTAGTGTGTGGTGCTGTCTCTGGGCTCCTGGCAGCAGTGGGGCAGGGATGGAGGCCCCTCGTCAGTTTTAAGTACTGTAGCTCATGCGTCTTGCAGTCGGTCAGTCATGCGGATAGGACGGTAAGTATGTCTCATACAGAAATCATGCCATTAGCCTATATAAACATGTACAGCCAGCCCTGCTCCCCTCCACTCTCTGCTCTCCTCGCCTCTCTTCTCAGGTATGTGTCAGAACGTGTGTGAAGTTCAGTGGTTTGGTGTTGAGGTGTGATCCTGGAGAGACACAGAGAGACACAGAAATGGGGTTACCAGGCATTCCTGGTGGCATGCCCAGGATAAATGGTGGGAGCAGCCAGGTACATGGCTTGGGAAATCCCTTCTGTACACTGTGCTTGTCCCACATGCATCCATGCTGCCAAGCAACCATAAGACAAGTTCTGAGGGGTGTCAGGCAGTGACACAGCACCACTAAGTGGCAAGTCTGGAACTAGGAGCAATGACATCGATGGTATTGATGATGCTGCCCCATCTGCAGAGACCAGCAAGCAGTGGCTGAGCTGCACCAACTGTGAGTGGCACTGGGAAGGACTGGGAGGGGTAGAGCTGGGAGCCTGCTCTAGGTTTTGGGATGGAGGAGGCCAGCCTTGAGCCCCCCACCTCAACTAGGGTGACTGCACCCCACTCTCCCAGCAGTGAGGAAGGCCTTCCCCAGTGCACACCCTGGGCCACTTCCACACAATGGAAAACTGTAAAAGCAAAGCAACAGGAGTGGTGCCCCGGAGAGAGGCAGAGCCAGGGACTGTCTAGGGAGTGGGGCAGGCAGATGGGGACAGAGTCTGCGTGAACATGTGCCCACAAGCATAAGCCTCTTGACTTTCATACACTTTCATACACACAGAGCTCACTAACTGTCTCCAGGAGAGTGGAGAGAGACCAACCGCCCCTGCTCAGCAGCCTCCTACCAGGGCAGTGCTGGGCAGCTCAGGAGACAAATGCAACACCTTCCCCCAGTGCTTCACTGTCAGCCCAGCAGTGAGCGTGCAGAGAAAAATGATGCAGCTAGGCTCAAGTGTGCTGTGCCAAGCACCTTGCCTTCAACCTGGTCTAGTCCCACCCTACAGGGAAGGCAGAGGGATTAGGGAATGCACAAGGGGCCATTCTGAGCTCAGTGGGGGTCAATGGAAGAAATGTCCTAGGTCAAAGGCAGGTGCCCTGTTGTCAGCCCCTACAGGTGTCACATTCCTGCACCTGCCACTCCTGCATCTCTACTGCCCCATCATCCCCCAGCAGTGCCCTGCCAAGGCCTGCCCCCATCCTGGCTTCAGCGGACCTCAATGTTTTCCATTACACAGCTGGCAGAGGCAGCAGCTGCAACTCCCAGAACAGTGCTGTGAGCAGAGGCAGTAAGCCATGGCCCCACAGAACCTGGACACCCTTCATCTGACCCACAGCTCTGCCAGTGCCCAGCTGCACCCCTTGGGAAGGGGGCACCAAGGCACCAGCTCCAAGGGCTGGTCTCATCTGCCACAAGGCTGCACAATTAGTGCTCATGCATGAAGGGGTTAGTTCTACTCAGACCCCATGCAAATGCAATCTAGTCCCTGGAATGGCTTTGGATGTAGCCCAGCATAACCAGGAGTAACAACTCTGTGACCCTGTCACTGAGAACCATCACCTCGAGCAGCCAGGATGCTGTCAGGGCAGTAGCAGCCCTTGGCACTGTGGCTGCAGTGGGGTGCTGTGCACACAGCTCGCTGGAGCATCGCTGCAGACCTGTGCCCACAGCATCCAGGAGCAGGTTATCAGCAGGGGCACTCTGATGCCCACCTTCAGTCTTTTGCTGCAGCACAGCAAACCCTCTCTGCAGGCCAGGAGCTGGGCACAGCCCTGCCAGACTTCCCCCAGGAGAATGTGCATGACCAGCAGCTCAGTGCAGGCAGCAGCATGGAGAGCCAGGACAGAAGGAAGAGCAAAGGCAGGGTTACCTCAAAAGAGGCCATTTGAGGGGTCACTGCTTCCCCCTTTTCAGGCTCGCTCGTTTCACTATCTGAGCCCCCATCCTGCCCCCAGAGACCTCTGGTTTCGGGACACGCACTCGCACCTCCTCCTGAGGAAGCCGCAGGGGCAGGAAGCAGGACATCACCCAGGTGAACAGACAGACATAGAGAAGAGGACAGGAGAGGGAAAGGCAGAGTCAGTTGGCAGGCAGAAAACATCAAGCAAGAAGACTGGTGCAGTGGACAAGATTTGCCCCTGGAAGTCTTAGAGGGGGAACAGGAGAGGAGTGCAGGGCAGAAGAAAGAACAGAGGGTGACATTGTCCCAGAGCCTGAGAGTCCTGCTGAAGCCCTGAGAGTCCTGGGTGCTGGCCCAGGCAGGCTGCCTGCAAGGGCTATGAGCCACACTGTACCTTGGCGCCCAGACCATCCCGGTGCAAGATGGAGTATTTCATGAAGTGATCATCCTCAGCCTCCAGATCTTGGGGCTCCTGTAGGGAGCCCTCGAGAATCAGCTCCTCTTGTTCCTGCCTGTCACCCATGTCACCAGGGCCCAGCTGACGCACCACCTTCCGGATAATCTGTGGAGACCCACACAGCTGGGTGTCACAGCTAGCCCCAGGGCACCATAACTCCCTCCTCACGCAGTCTGGTCCTAAACTGCACGTGGTGTGCAGCCTCTGTCCCAAGAGCTGGAGAAGTGCCGTGACTGTAACCGAAGACAGCGGGGCTCGAATGCCCTACATGGGCCCCGGGCTACAGGGGTGGAGGGGAGAAGAGAAAGGCTGCATGCCCTTGCCCTTATCTTGCCGCCGATCACTCACCTTCTTGGTGATGATATTGCCTTGATCATCTGTGAACTGCTCCTCAGTCACCTGCTCTCCAGGGAGATGAAGGGCTTCATTCCCCTGCAAGAACAGGAGGGAGATCAGGGCACGTGAGGGAGGTGAGGGGAGTTGTTTTGCAGGTAGAACAATGCACCTGACATGCACCCCACAGCCTCCGTGCCCTGCCCTGACCCTTCACTGCTTTCCTCTCCATCTGCTCTGGGGCTGCTATCAGTTGCCCGCTCGTTACCTTCAGGAGGACGCGCCGGCGGACGACTCTGGCCGAGAGAGCCTCCTCGTCATCCGCCAGCCCCGGGCTCTCCCCGAGCTCCTTGTCCAGCTCACGATGGGCGTGTTTGAGCAGGAAGCGGACAGAGCCCCTGACGATGTGCATGACGTTCTGGCAGCTGACCAGGAAGAAGGCCAGAAGCACCAGGGCGATCAGCAGCTGGCCCAGGAAAGCCCACATTGTGCCTGGGCACGCACAGCCGCCCGTGTGCGCGGCTCGGAGCCGCTGTCAGAGCCCAGCCATGCCCTGCGGCTCTGCAGGCTGCCCACGCCGTGCCCGGTGTCGCCGCAGCTCTGCTGTCACCGCAGCTCTGCTGGCTGTGGGCGGCGAGAAGGGAGCGGGCAGGTGGGGCGGCCTTTGCAGAAACAGCTTCGCTCGAAGTCATGTGGCCAGCACTGCCCCTGGCAGCAAGCAGGACAGCTCTGTCCCTCTGCTCTGTCAGCTTGCCCAGCAGCCTGTCCTGACTACGCTGAGAGGGCAGCGTGCACTCTTCTGTCACAGGACAAATGAAGCCCTGGACAAAAGCCAGGGTTTGAGGTGTCATTGGAATCACGCGTGACTCACGTATCGCACACGGCAGAGCTGAACAGCCACCTCCGAGCACGACCGTGCTGCCGGGATGGCTGTGCGTGCCCTGGCTGGGGAAAGGTGCTTGCCCTCACCTTGTACCTGCTGGTTCTGTGTGACCGTGGCATCAAGCCCACCACCCAGCCTGGCCCCTAGACCAACTCTATTTCTGGCTCCAGCAGGCTGTTGGGCTGGCAGCCAGGGTAGATACTTACTTAGGAACAAGTCTGGGAGGGTGACTGGGTTATAAATGGAGAGCAAGAGCTCAGGTATCAAGCACAGCAGGCTATTCTGGGCTGAGAGGCACCCCAAGGGGCAGGAAGTATGCCAGAAGATTTGAGGAGCTAGCACCTGGTCTGCCTGACTGGCCTTGCAGCAGGCTCTAAAAAAGGCTGTCCACAGGGTCACCACTTCCTGCAGGGCTGAGTCCCCTGCTTCCACCCTCACCTGCCCAAAGAAGCGGCTGTCGGACTCCTCCTGCCAGCCGCCTGTGGGGTGCTGAGGCTGCCAGTCGCTGTCCTCTGCAGAGCTGACCCGCATCAGCTCCGTGGCTGGCATCAGGACCTGCTCTTGCTCCTGGCCCTGTGCCCCGGAGGCTGTGGTGTGCGTTGGGAGCAGCCTTCGGGTGACTCCCTCCTGCCAGGAGCCCGCTGTCAGGTCCTGTAGGCAGGAGATAAAGGAGCCTTCTGCATTCCAGTCCCTCAGCCTGGGCACCAGAGAGGGACAGGGATAGGGAGAGAGAGACAGAGAGAGAGAGGCAGTCAGCTTTGCCTGGAGTGCTGCACCCTGAGCACCAGCCGAGCTCCGGCAGGCACACCGGCGCAGCCTGCACCCCACAGGCTCCACTCCCCAGCTCATGGCACTGCTGGGTGCCCAGCAGAAGCAGCACAAAACACACAGATGACAAAAGGCACAGGCCATCTCTATGCCATGCTCCCTGCCATCCCACAGCCTCATAGCTTGGCTGCCGGGGTCTGAGGCAAGACCATGCTTTGCTTTCTAGGCTCTAATGTGGTCTAATGCTGTGGAGCATTTCTGGGTGCTGCCAGCGACCTCATGGGTCCAGTGCCACTAGGAATGCAGGAGGAGGCAGCCCAGGTTAGGGTTAGCTCTCATAAGTACAGCCTATATGCAGGGCCTGGTAGACTGGGGTCCCTTCCAGGTGCTCTGCAAGGAGCCCTCCAGGGCATTGCCAGACCCATTGCCCAACCATTGTTCTAGGTACTGCAGATACCTGGGCTCCAGAGCTGGAGACCAGCAGGGAAGCAAGCAAAGCAGGGAGATTATTGCAGCTGGCCCAGCACAGGGCAGTAGCTGGCAAAGCAGTTGTGCTCCCCTACCACGGTCACCCTGGTGCCCCAGGCTGCAGTACCTGTCTGCACTCTTCTCCACAGCATGGCTAAAGGTAGGTGATGTCATGATCCTGGCTTGCACCTTCTGCTGAACTGAAACAAAAGAGACTTCACTCTCCGGGTCCTGCTCCCCAGTCCCTGGTTGATGATCACCAGATGGCATCTTCCCCTCTGGCCTCTGCCCCTCCTCCTGCTCTAGAAGGTCAATCAGGCCATTCATGGCATCTGAGTCCACTGTGTCATCCTCAACCAGGTCCATAGAGCCCATGTGGTCTGGGCCATGAGCATCTGCTAGAAGTTGCCCTGGGAACCGGCCTTCGCTTGTGGCATCCGAGTCCTCAGCCTTGCTGCACTCCAGAGAGGAGTCCTCAGCAGTCACCAGCGAGGGGGTGAGCCCCGAGGACCACACCTGCATGTCGGACATCTCCATCAGGGCATCCTGCTCAGTGGCAGCCATGGGGATAGCATCCATGATGGCCACCTCATTCCAGTACTGGTCGGCACGCAGCGGGGATGGCAGTGTGTAATGCAGGGAGGCAGGGGACAGCAGCTCGTCCTGCAGTGAAGCGTAACCTATATGGGCAGACAGAGGCATCATGTCCAGCAGCCATCTCAGGCACGCACAAGCACAGTAGGGCAAAAGGGAAACAGCTTCTGTGAGGATGACTGCCCCAAGGACAGCAATGGTCATGCTGGTCACAACCCCCTGTGGCCAGGCTGAGCAGGACTGTGCTCACAGCAGCGGCTGCTTTCACATGGTCCCTGCAAATGCTGCCATGCCTCCCATCAAGTCCTGGGGCTGGTTTGGGCAGGTCCTGGGGCTGCCTCCTTCCTGTGAGGAGGACTAGCCTGGTGTTCACACGATTCCCCATCTACACTGCAGGACACCTTGCTACCCTGCTCTACCAGCCCCCTGGTCCCTGCCCACAGCCCCCATCCAGCATCAGCTGGCTGGCAGTTAGCCTGGAGTTCAAGTAGCCAACTGGCAGGCACCAACTCTCAAAGCCAAACACTCTCCACAGCACAGAGGAGCAGGTTGGAAGTACCATGAGCAGAGAAGGATGGCCCCAGAACATGCCATGCAACCCCAAGGCCCTGCAGAAGGCAGCCAGGGACTTACAGCCCTGTTGGTGTCTCCAGGACTACAAGCCATTGTTTTGTCTCATCACCTAGGGCCATCTGCACAGCTCAGGCACATCCATATGAACTACAACCAAGCCAGGCACTCCCACCCATGCAGATGGTTTTGCTCAGCCTTTTTCAGCTTTGAGCCATTTTTTCACCCCTGCAGATCAGCAGTGAACCTGTTCTGCTCCCCTAGCAGCCAGGGAATGCCAGCCACAGCCAAGGCACAGGGTATGGCTGGGACCCTTGGCACAGAAAGGGCACCTCACCCATGGGCACCCAGATGCTTGGCTGGGGCATGCAGTGCAGTGCCAGTGAGGGAAGGAGCATGGGACTGTGCAGCAGGAGATGCTGGGATGCCTGGGATGGCTGTCTGCAAGCATGACAGCTGTAAGAGGGGTAGTCCCTGATGACATGCAGTCACTGGAGCAGGATGCAGCTCCCGGAGGGCTTAGCTGAGGTGGAGACAGTGGAGACAGGCAGTGGAAGATGAGAGAAGGAGAGGCCAGGATGAGCTCAGAGAGAAAGGTGAAAAGAAGTGACCCACAGGAGTGCCCGCACCTGGCAGCACTAGGTGGCATGTTTGAGAAAACAGAACAAGGGGAGAGACAGAGAGGGAGAGAGCGATGAACCAGCACTGCAGGGGCAGAGCCACAGTGCGGGGCTGTAGCAGCACAAAGCCCTGCCCCTGTCTGATGTGCTGGCTCCCCAGCAGCATATGCCACAGCTGACTCTGGCTGTGTCCCCACATCCAGGCATACTCTGCCTGGGACCCAGCCCAGGACCACCACCACAGCTGTACAGCCAGGACTCAGTGAGCTCCCTGGCCACTGATCAGCTTGCACAGCCAGAGACACCTCTCACTGGCACACTGGGATAAGGAACACGTGTCAATCCCACCTGGAGAATTTCTGAGAAAGCAGTATGACAGAGACAAGCTTTCTGCAGCATAAGCCCCAGTGAAGAGGCCACCTCTGTCAGCAATGCCTTATGCCCACTCAGTTCTCAGTGGGTGCAACCTGGTCAGGCAAGACCCCAGCCCCAATCTCCACAGACTGTGCCCCCGGGGCCCTCCTGCATTCCCTGTCAGAAGCTGGGGCTCACCATTCATCTGGGATGGCGAGAGGGAGTAGTCTCTGTCCGTGTAGCGCCAGCTTCCCTTCAGGCTGCGGCTCTGCCGACCAGAGCCCTCCAGCATATTAACAATCTCGCTGCGGTCGATGTTCCTCAGTGCCATGTACAGGTTCTCAACTGCAGGGGGAAGGTGGTGTCAGCAAACTAGTCACTTGGGGAGACACAGCTATGCCTCAGACACCCTCCAAGTTGGCAGGGAAGGCAGATATGCATGAACCACCACTGTAAAGCCAGCCAGTGGTCCTTGAAGATGCACACACTGCTCTGTGTAGCTAGCCCTGCCACTTCTGTGCCTGTAAAAGGGCACCACAACTACTCACTCTTGGCATGCTTGCCCTCGCGGCTGGCCCAGAGGTTGAGTAAGGCTATGCTCTGCTCCAGAAGGGAGTTGGGGTTCTCCACACGTATTCTGTTGATGTCATCCACCCCAAACTGCAGCTCACGTGCCAGCTCTGGGGAAAACACCACATCAGTATCACACCCTCTGGTGCCTACCGCAAGGCTAGGGACGTTGTGAAGGGCTCAGCCAGGACCAGTGCAGAGACCCTCTGTTACATACAACTGAACACAGCAGAACAGGCAGGAGCAGGATCTGGGATGGGGCAAGGGTTGAAGCCCCCCTGCTCAGGCTGGCTGCGACTAGTGCAGTAGGGTCTTATGCTGAGAAGTGTGGGCTCTGCCATTGGATGTGTGGCTGCAACGAACAGCAGCAATATGCTCAACTCATAGCAAAGCCCTAGCCTGGTACCCATGTGTGTGAATATGAGCACAGCCATGGGAAGTTTCACTTCAGTGCCCTGGAATGCTCAAAGCAGGGGTGCAGTGCAAAGCAATCACTACACCTGGCAGCACATTTCCAGCCTCCCTAAGTGTCCCTAAGTTTTCCGAGGAGTGTTGTTTTGGTCAGAACTGTCGGCTGTGGACTCACCGGCCCAGCTGAGGCCCAGCTGCTCTGCTATGTCAACCATCTTCTGGTCTGCCTTGTCCGTGCTGCTCAGAGAGCCTGGAGGGGAAGAGGGAGTTACAGCTCAGCTGCACAGAGCCCTGCACCACAGTGGTGAGGAGAATGGGGTGCTGGCTATGGGGGTCACACAGGCATGTAGGCACAGCACTGCCCTGCAGGCAGGACTAAGGTGAGTGCAACTATTACAGGATCATCTCAGCCTTTCCACTGGCTTGGGCACCCCAAGTGCAGGTAGTGAGTGGGCTGGAATGTCCCAGCAGGCTGCATACCAAAGCTGGTCTCACTTAGAATGCTGTATCGCTCCCGCAGAGACAACGGCGTCAGCGTCCTCCTTCTCTCCTCACTGCCGCTTCCCTGTGAAAGTGGTGACAAAGCAAGGGGTCAACAGCTTGAAAAGAGGGCAGCAGCTCTGCCCTGACCTGACTGCTTCTCCTTCAGCCCCAGAGTAGCTTGACATGGCCACATGGAGCAGGTGAAGAAGAAAACTGGCAGCAAGGGCTGTCCCCTGCACTTGGAGAAGGGATGGGCCCTCACTGCCCCCTACCAGAGTGCCAAAGACGCTACACTGACCTTGGTGCAGGGTGGGATGGTGATGTTCAGGTGGCAGAGCACATGCTGGAGGTCCTCGTATTTCATGGCCTTGCGCAAGAAAGACAGGGAGCCACTGGCTTCCCGGCTGCTGTCCCGGACCTGAGTGCCAGAGCCCAGTTAGGTGGCTTGGCACAAGCCAAGGACCCTAACTGCTTGCCCAGTCCTTTACTCTAACATTACCTTGATGGGGATGACAAGACGATTCTCCCGGAAGGACTGGAAGAGGAAGGTGCGGGGCTGAGCAGCCTTCTTGACAGGCACCAGGTTCCCTGAGAGTTCGACATGCAAAGGCATTCCCTCCACCACCTGACCAGGAGCAGAAAATATGCTTGGAACCTGTACAGAGCTGCTTCTGCTCCTGGACAGGGCAGGAAACCCTGGCTCTCCTAGCCAGGCCAGGGCCAGGTCCTTCCACTGGCATCAGTCTCCCCTCACTTTGTTATCCCTCTCCCTGCTGCCCTCCACACATGCTGCTGGGGACAAACCTCAATGTCCCTGCTGCGGGCCACCTCAGTGAAGTTCTCGTGCTGCTCTAAAGTCTTGTCAACCTTGTCATCAGTCATGCAGTAGCAGCGCAGCCGGCCTTCTCGTGCATCATTCATCTTGGCAAACACCACGAATTTGGCCATGTAGGGCACAGCTGTCAGCTCCTTGTACAGCATGGTGGCAAAGTGCACAGCCTCAGCTGTGCGTGGGCAGTCAGCCAGCCAGAACCTGCAGGAGATCTGGGTTGGGGTGCTGCTGGGCATGGCACCAGGGAGCTGCCCCCACCCCCTTCAACAGCCAACTGGTCTGCAGAGTAAGCCCCAAGAGTTCTGGACACAGGTGTAGCCCCATCTGTGATGGGGACACACCCAAGTACAAATAATGGCCCCCTTCCTTCTGCACACCCAGCTGTCATGGGTGTTTCCTGGAGTGTGCTCAGGAATGGGGGTCTCAAGGCTAGAGGAAACCACCCTGCATGTAGGAATAGGGCAGCACAGCACCAGGGGTAAGAGGCTTTTCCTGGCAAAGGCTGTAGCAAGGCCCAAGGAGCACCAGATATGCTCAGATGGGCACACGTTTGCCCAGGACTCACCTGGCAGACACATTGGTGGTAAAGTTTGCACATTCATTTTCATAGACCAGCTTTGTGGTGCCTGTTATGTCTTCCCATTGGGCTTGGGCTGTCCCTCCTGGAACAGAAAGCAAGGGTGAGCATACTGTCTTTCCATAAGCCCAGGGTCTGCATCCCCTAGGCATTTGCTTTCTCCATAGCTGTGTCCTTTACTAAGTTCCTTGGAGCTGCATCCCCCTGAGGCAGCCCAGCCCATCCCCATGGAAAGCACGCTTGCAGCCTCACCAATCACACTGCAGAGCAGACGTAGGCTGGTGGTGTCACCCTCACCACTATCTCGGGGATTGTCCTTCCAGGATGGTGGCAGTGGGATACGGAGGCCAATGGGACGGTGGAACTTCCTCCGTCGTGGCTCCACTGTGACAATGGGGCTGAAGGTTGCTTGGTTCCCCAGCAGCTTAGTCACCAACTCATCTGGCACAGGCTGTGCCTGTGGGTAGCACAAGGATGGGCATCAGGGATGGTTTTTCCCCAGGCTGGAGCACAGCCTAGGCTTGCTGCCCACCCCTGACTGCAGAAGCATGTCTAGGCCCCAGGCTGGGCCCTCTGAGGCTCACCTGCAGGGCCAGCCTCACTCTTTTCGTGACAGCAGTGTCTGGGAAGGTGGCCTGTACCATGGGCACCAGTGTGCTTTTCAAACACCCTCCCTCAGGGCCAATCATATCACAGTCCTGGCAAATCCGGGACATGACCACAAAGTAGAGAGGGAAGTCAGTGGTGATGATGCGGCAGATCCTCTTCTTATCCAGCTCCTCCTGGCTCTCCAGCTCTGCAAGGGCAGCACAGCCATCAGTGCTCATACAGCAAGCCTGTGGCTGTCACTCAACACCCCTCCGTGCTACACTGACCACTCAGCCCCATTCTACCACCCAGGCCACCGCAGCCCTGCCTGCAGGGAGCTGTGAGGTGTGCAGCCCCTGCCCTCCTGGCACGCTCACCCTCGTCCATGCCATTGAGCAGCTGGTCCATGTAGCTCTCCTCATAGCGGTTGCGGTGCTCCTTCCACACAGAGCCGTTCTCGCTGCGCAGCACTACCAGCTCACGGTCTCCACGTCCATACGAGGCAAAGTGTGGAATCTCCACAATGACAGGGCTGCAGATAGCAGAGCAAGGCACTGGCACCCACAAGCTGCCACAAGGACACGCAGGCACGAAGATGGCCCTGGGAAGAATGCCTGCCCATGCTGTGCAGCTGCTGAGGGAAGGACTGCTGACCTCCCTCTTCCTGGGAAAGAGGGCTCTGCCCCTCTTGGGACAGGGCTGCTCAGGGCTTTTCTGCCACTGTTCTGTTACTCTTGAATGACCCATGCCAGAAACATGCTGCACCCAACAAGAGGTGGGATCTCTCCTCTACCAACCTCAAGGAGCAACTATAGGCAGAGGTCTTGCCCTGGGTGGTAAAGCCCTCCAGATGAGCCCAGATCTGTTCCCAGTCCTGAGGGATGACCGTAGTGTGGGCAGCCCAATCTGCTCTTTTCCCAGCCGTGCTCACCTGAGGAACTGGGCACCAGCAGGCCCCAGAGCAATGATCCGACTGCCCAGACCCTCCTCCTCAGCCAGTGGTGGGGGTGCAGGTAGCTTTTGGGGCTTCACCAGGCGGCAGGTGATGCGGGTCGGTGCAGCACAGGCACGGGGCGGGATGACCACGCGCAGACCGTGGTGCCGGCTGCCCCGCATGGAGCCACCACGAGCATCCACCATGAAGCTCACCAGGAACCTGGAGTGGACAGAGGCATGGGCACCTTGCAGCCAGCTCGTGAACACATCATGCATGTGCTGCACAGGCTGGGCACTCACCCTGTGTGCACGGGGCTGGCCACTGGGCTGATGTTATCTGAGGTCTCAGTGGCAGGGCTGCTGGGGATCAGGGAGTCCTCATCGAACTCTTTGGAGGGCTGTGTAAGGCAGGGAAGAGACCCTGTGGGCAAAGGGTCCTACCTGGGGGTGTTGAGCCTGCCCACCCTTACACAATCCTTGCTGGACAGTCCAGTACCACCGGGTCGATGCCCATTACCCATCACACACTCAACCTCTGTGGTGATGGGGGAGCTGCCCCAGCAGGGAATGTCTGGGGGAGGCCATGGCAGGCTGTATCTCATGCTCACCTCCTGTGGGGACACCGAGGGTGCATGCAGCAGGCTGACTTGCTCAGCTTCTGTCTCCACAGGTCCTACCTGCTCAGTCTCCTCAGCTCTGGTCACCACAGTTTCAGGTGGGATGCAGGGGACCTGGAGGACAGCTGGAGACTCCACCCTGGAAGGAGAGGGTAGTGACAGACACAGAAGTTGTAGGGTCCCTCAGCCCCTGCCCATCCCCACAGAGTCCTGGGGCTGTTGGACAAAGACAAACTAAGCAGCAGTCCCATGTCCTGGTGCAGGAACAGCACTGACCAGCTTTGCCTCTCATGCTAGCTGGTGAGGGCTCAGTGTTCCCTGCCCAGAGCCTTATGTGCCCCGCAGGAAGCCCAGCCCAGCACAAGGCTGGTCCTGGGCCCTGTACCTGCCCCCTCCCCACCATACAGAGTCTCTTACGTTTGCTCCAGTGTCGTTGTGGTCATGAACTCCAGTATCTCCCTCTTGCCTTCCTGGTCTCCGAGATCAGGTGTCTTGGGCTTTGGTGCAATCAGCTCTTCCTCTGAAACCAAGAGCTGGCTCAGCAAGCAGAAGCAGACGGACAAGGGAACGCAGATATCCAGCCCTTGCCCCCACCCCTTCTCAGGGCTGGAGCCAGGGCCCATCCCTGCTCCCACTGCTTGACACACACACACACACACACACACACTTGCCCCCTGAGTCTCAGCCAGCTGCAGGGGGGGCTTTGCTGTCTGCCAGAATGGGTTTGCTGGCAGGGCAAGGCCCACGTGGCAGGCCAGTTGGACAGGAGCTGTGGGAGCCATCAGGAAACTTGGCTGCTCACAAATCTCTTTCTCACAGGACCAAACACAGTGCAGAGACTGCAGGGGACAGCTTACACTGATGTCTGGGACAGGGACATAGGCACGACTGGGAGTGCAGGAGGCTGCCCTAACACTACACCCCACTGGAGCTCTGCTAATGCTGACCATTGGTCCCATTAATACCTGCTAACTAGCTCTTCAGAGTTTGACTCTAGCCAGTGCCATGTGGGAGGGTGTCCAGCACCTCCCAAAGCAGACAGAGTGCCCCAGAGATGGGGAGGGGACCACAGCAGAACAGACACCCTTGAGCTTTCAGGTTAATCCCTGCTCTTGCTGGGAGAGCACGGGGCAGCTGCAGAGGGACACCAGTGTTTGTCACAGTGCCAGGTCCCTCCACCTGCCATGGGCAGGGCCTGGGTCTGACAAGGGAGTCAGGGTCCTCCTGCGTGGGAGGAGGCCCATTCATGCAGTCACACCACAGCAAGCAGCACGGACATGGATTGGCAGGGGAGGATGGCAGGGCTGGCTGGAGAGCACCAGACCAGCAGCAAGGCTCAGCAGATGGATATGGCGTGCGGATGGTTAGTGGCCATGGGGTGAAATGGGCCATTGAGCTGGGGCAGGGGGACACATTTCATACCCATTACTGTGACATGAGCAGTGCCTGCAAAGTAAGAAGAGGCCAAAGTGAGGTATTGGGAGGGTGCAGGAGCAAACCAGCTGCAGCTGGGCTGGGACCTGGTTCCCTCTAGCAGAGCAAGGCACAGTGGGGGCTCTGCATGCCCAAGGTCTCTGCACAGTCCCTGGGGCGTAGGATCAAGGAGATGTCCAGGCATATCCCTCCTGCATACTGCAGGGAAGAACCCAAGCCAAGAGGTGCCACCTTAGGAGTCTGGTGGGCTTTCCTCATCCTTTCTGCAAGACCACAGCAGGGCCCACACAGCTCCCCCGCCCTGGGTGGTCCCTGTTCCAGCTGGAACACCAGTGCCATCCCCGCGACTGCTGCCTGCCACACTGACAGCCGGCAGATCTCTGGGATGGTGTGACCCAACTCCCACCCCTCACCTTCATCCTCTGATACGTCCAGAATCTCGTCTACAGTCTCTGGGAAGCTCATGCGGTGCTTGTCACCAACTGACTGTGGGAGCAGAGCAGAGTCAGAGGAAGCCAGTGTTTTGCTGCACAGCTATCTGCAGCCCCCTCCTTACACCTGGGCTAGGCACTTAACTGCAGACCTCTCCCAGGCTGCTCCCAGCCCCAGCCCTCCTCCACAGCATCCTGGTCCCAGTACTCAGGGGCTCACCGGGATGTCGGTTTCCTCTGTGACAATCTTGAGCACGTCCGTGACTGAAATGTAGCCAAGCCGCTTTGCGATGGCCAGGGGAGTGGTGCCATTCTGAACACAGAGCAAAGACTGGGTCAGCAGCAGCCGCAGGGCAGCTTGGGCAGCTGCCTGAGCTTGCCACAGAGTGGGGAGATGCAGGGAAGCACTGCACTCACCGTGCTGATCTCGTTGGGAGATGCGCCGTGTTTCAGCAGCAGTGTCACCACGTCCGTGTGGCCCTGCTGTGCCGCTTGGTGCAGGGGCGTGTAGCCCAGCTGTAGGGGAGGACACAGGATGCTGCAATCACTTCTGGAAGTCTGCTGCTCCAGAAATGCCTCCAGGCCTCATACACCGTGCTTCGTGCCTGGAGCACGAGGACAGCTCCACTTCCCCATCAATCTGCATGCTGTTTGGCATGGCAGAAGGGTCCTTGGAGCACAGGACACCTCTGTACCTTAGTCTTGGCATTGACATCCGCTTGGTGCTGCAGCAAAAACTTCACCAGCTTGATGTTCCCATAATGGCTGGCCACATGCAGTGGGGTATAGCCCATCTGAAAGACAAGATCAGGTCTCAGTCTGCCCTCACCACTGCTTACTGCCCTTACAGCTTGGATATGCTCATCCACAGGCAAGCCCCTATGCATGAAGGATGAGGCACACATATGGGGGCTTCCCAAGAGCCAAAGACCAAAGCAGAGGGCTTCAAAGCATACTGTACCTGTGGGTACAGAGGTGAGCTATAGGAGCAGGCAAGAATCACCCCCCGCCCCCAGAGAGGTGGGGGGAAGAGGAGGAAGAGTCCCCAGGACACAGGCAAAATGGTAAGGATGCCTGCTAGAAGGGAGTCCCTCACACAAATAAAAAGAAAAGAAATGCTCTTCTCTGAGCAGGCCTAGAGGTAGTTCCCCCATGTGTTTCACCAAAGCCATGGTCAATGCACTACTTTACCCTGGTCGTTGCATCCACTGTGACTCCATGTTTCACTAGAACATCAGCAACCAGCACATGACCCTCCTGGGCCACAAGATGGAGAGGAGTCAGGCCACTCTGCAAAGAGGGGAGGTCTCAGCACAGTGGCACTGCCATCACTGCAGGTCCAGCAGCAGAGACTCTGTCAGGTCTCCAGCCTGGCAAAATGACTGACACAGTGTACTGCTGCCCAAAGACAGGGAGACACAGGGGCCTGGACCAGGCCACTCAGACTGTTGTTCTCTGCTGGCTTGTTTGCCTCCAGTGGCAGGATGTGCTGGGACAACTTACCTTGTTGCCTAGGTTGCCATTGGCTTGTTTGGAGAAAAGCAGTGCCACCATGTCTGCATGGCCCTCCTGGGAAGCCAGGTGCAGGGGAGTGACTCCCTGCATAGATTCAGCATTTGCAGAAGCCCCATACTGCAGCAGGCTGCTGGCCACTTCCATCTGGTTCTGCTTGGCAGCAATGTGCAGGGGGGTGTACCCATTCTGCAGGAGAGAGGCTCGTTGCAGTGCTCAGCCCTGCCAAGCTGACTAGAAGGGACAGGAGGTACCACCCTGCCTCTGCAGGCCAGATTTGCCCTTCCTAGCTGCCTCCAGAGCTCAGGGATGCCCCTCACACCGTCTCTCTGACAGCAATCAGCCCTGACATGATGCCAAATCCCATTCTTCCAGCTAAGTTAGCACAGGGGTTTCAAAGACCACCTGCTTCAGGTTCGACTGACGGAGGCTGTCCTGGAGTTTTCTACACATGAATTTCTGCAGCAGTATGCAGCCTCTGGGAGCTGCAAAAAGCTGGGGCAGACACACCTCCTGGAATGTGCCTGGCTGAGGCGTGGAGCTAAACTCCCAATACACAGCATTAGCATTCAGGCAGAGACTGCAGTGCCTTGAGCCCTGCTCTGCTGCCACGCTGCAGGAGCAGAGCAGCTGGCAGAGCCCGCTGCCCAGGCTGACGTGAGGCTGTCGGTGACGCAGACCGACGGGGGCTGGCGCTGGTACCGGTGCCTGCCCAGCATGTCTGCCGGCAGCCTGCTCAGGGGAGAGGAAGGTGCCAGATGGGGAGGGCTGGCACCACCAGCCACTTGGCTGTTTTGAGGATGCAGTTTCTGCAAACAATATGGGAAGCAAGCGCCTGCTGGCGTGCTCTGTGGGGAGATGCTCCCCATGCTCAGGCAGAGCCGGGTGACTCTCACAAGCTTGTGGGTTTTCTGACTCACTGCTTCATAGCTGCATGCAAACATTTGCCTGTGGTTTCCCAAACTGCCAGACCGCAGCGCTGCTCTGCAGGACTTGCCATGGAAACACGTTCCCCACGCAGCAACCACCACGCTGCTAGCAGGGACCATCCCTGACACAGCCTATCTGCTGGAACAGGACCACTGCCTGGCACCCTGCCTGCTCCACGTGCTGTGAGGACAGGCAAGCATGATCAGCGGAGAGAGGCTGGTGGTGGTCAGTCCCTTATACATTCCCCGAGTGCCAGGGTTGAGGGGCAGTGCTGGCCCCAGACTGGCAGGCACTAGACACACACCACATACCCCCATCGCCAGGGAAGCCCAGCCCAGACTTACCCATGCTGAGTTGTGTGGGGAGCTCCCCTTGGGAAGCAGCAGCTTGACAATCTCCAGGTTGTTGTGGTGCACAGCCACATGCAGTGGAGTCAGGCCATTCTGCAGTGGGGGAGAGGGTACAGACAGGTAAGACAGAGCCTCTCCCCGTACTAGACCACTCCTCCCACAAGCAACACTCACCTTCCCTGCTGCATTGGGGTGAGCGTCATGTGCCAACAGCAACTCTGCCACATCCACCTTTCCATACTTGGCTGCAACGTGGAGAGGGGTAAATCCTTTCTGAGGAGAAAGGCAGCCCATCACAGGATGGCAGAGATGAAAAGAGTGCTGGTGCCTGCTGCAGCACAGGAGGAGGCTGCCCCTCCTGTGACAGGGACACTGTGCCATCAGCCTGTCCAGCCTTGCCCCAGCTGGGCGACGCCTTCCGCAGCAGTGGGCTCAGCAGCCTACCTTGGTCATGCAGGTCTGTGAGGCTCCCTTCTCCAGCAGGGCCAGGGCTGTGTCCATGTGCCCCTCTCTGGCAGTGATGTGCAGGGGCGTGTGCCCTGCTGTGGTGGCCAGGTTGGGGTTGGCGTTGTTCTCCAAAAGGAGTTTGACCATGCCAGTGTGGCCAATGCGTGCAGCACAGTGCAGAGGAGTCTGGTCGTCCTGTGAGGGTGGCAAAGAAGCTGTTTGGGCAGACCTGGACCAGTCCTTCCTTGCGATGCCAAAGGGGTCCCAGCCCTGCTCCCACTGTTGCACAGCCCTTGGTAGGGGCTGTGCTCTGGGCACGTGATAGCAAAGAAACCAGCCCTAGCTGTTCCCAGAGCTGATTATCACGCAGGTCCTCTGTACCTACCTTGGCCTTAGCATTGGCTTTGGCTTTGTTTTGCAGCAGGTACTTTGCCACATCTGTGTGCCCAGCTCTGGCTGCCATGTGTAGGGGAGTCTCTACTTTCTGCACCAAAGACAGGATAAAATGGTAAGGCCAAAGGAGAGAAAATGCCTTCCTGCAGTCATTCCTCTGCTCTGAACAGAGGAGAGCAGTGCCTGCAACCCCTACTGGTTCCTCATGCCAGCACAAAGGAGAAGGCACCAGGGACTGCTCAGGTGAACAGAAGGTGCAGAACCTGCTGAACCCAAATAAGCTGAGCTCCCGAAGTCCCAGCCAGGGTGCAACTCACCACGTTAGACACATTAGGAGAGGCTCCACGCTGCAACAGAGTCTTGACAATGGGCAGGTGTCCCATGAAGGCAGCCACATGCAGGGGGGTCAGGCCAGACTGTGAAGAAAAAGGGGCCAGAAACCAAGATGGGACTTATGGCAATATCTCTTACTGTCCCCTCCTCCTTCTCCCCAGGGCAGGTGTCAGCAGAGGCAAAATCTGAGTCCCCAGTCTGCTCCAGGAGCCTGGCAGGTGAGTGTGGAGGAAACAGGGAGCTGCTGTCTGGCCTGCATCTCCCTGCCCTTCAGGAAGATGCTGCCAGGCTAAATAGGTTCTGAGCTACAAAGAGCACCAATAAAGGTCCCTGGGGTATGGCAGAAGCAACAGAGAGATCTCATCCTGCCATGTTGCCCACACTGTACATGCAGAAGCAAGAGAGCTGAGGATGGGCTCAGCCCACCTACCTCTGTGACAGCATCAATGGAGGCACCTGTCTTCAGCAGCAGCTCCATGACACGAATGTGGTTTTTCTTGCAGGCAATATGGAGGGGCGTGAAGCCATTCTGCACACAGACAGATGGACCGTCATTTGCAGGAACACTCCCTCTCCCCTGGTCCAGCCCACCCACCCTTCCTCACCAGGGCTCGGGAGTTGGGCTTGGCCCCCTTCTCCACCAGCAGCTTGGCCACCCGGTGGTGCCCACAGTGTGCAGCCACATGCAGTGGTGTCAGGTGGTCCAGGGTGATGTCGTCGATCTCGGCGCTGTACTGCAGGAGCAGGCGGACACAGTCCAGGTGGTCACCCTGTGCTGCCATGTGGATTGGCGACAAGCCGTTCTGCAACCGTGGAGCAGGGCCTCAGGGCCGGGCCAGGAGGGGTACAGGCATCCCACCCAGCCCCTGCCTTGCACCCCCAGACACTACTCTAGGGCAAAAGAGACAGCTTGCTCCCCAGGGTGCTACCAGAGAGGAGCCCCAAAATCCCTCACTGAGACTTAGAGAGGAGCAAGGTCGAGTGGAGGGCCTGAAGAGCTGCTGCCATGGGGCAGACTGTACCCAGGCCATCCCCTTCTCAGGACTGGTCCCTTTGAAGGATGAAGCCCTCAGGCGAAGGACTCCAGCTAGGGCCAGGTAGGGCAGGAAGCTTCTTACCACTCGTCAGGCCAAAAGAAGCCCCAAGCCAGCCACGGGTGCCAGCCAGCAACTGTGCACAGCTTGTTACCCCACTGTGCTGCCCTGGGACCTTGGCATCAATCACAGCCCCACCAAGTCATCTGGGTACCTTGGTTTTGGCTTGAATGGGAGCCCCATGGTCCAGGAGGATCTCTGCAATTCTCACATGTCCATTGCGTGCTGCACAGTGGAGAGGGGTCAGCTCATCCTGGGAAGAGAGAAGGGTTCAAGGGCTCAGCATGGCATGGAAGGGCAGGGTTCCCTCAGATAGACAATTGACAGGGACTTTGGACTTGTCTGCAAAATAAGGCAAAACTGAGCCTGGCCTCAGCTCCCAGGGCACATCTTTGTTGCCATGCAGCATCCTCTCACCTCTAGATGTGCTGCAAAAAACCTGGTCCATCCCCTTAGTGCACCAGAGGCCTTCCCTCCCATTCCCAGCAGGATGTTCACAGGGAAGCCCTAGGCATAAGGAGCTGAGGGAGGGAGACGGCCCGTGTAAAGATGGGCTGTGTTCACAAGTGCTCTCACCTTGGTCCTTGTCTCTATCTGGGCCCCGCGGTCCAGCAGCAGCCGTACCATGATGATGTTGCCCCGGCGGGAAGCTATGTGCAGGGGAGTGATCCCATTCTGTCAGGAGGAACAACAGTCTGTCAGAAGGAGCAGCCCCATCTCTTTCAAGGAGGCAAGGGACAAACAATGGAGAGAGAGCAGGGAGAGCTATGCAGGGACAATACTGGGGAACAGCTTGTTTAACAGGGCTGTGAGAGAGGGCTGTGCAGATAAAGGCTGTGGACAGACACTACAGAGAGCTTGCAGTACAGCACCAACTCATGGATTGGGCTTCACCTGTGGGTCTGGAAAAGGCATCCTAACTGCAGGTTCTATGAGCTCTGCCCTGCAGCAGTAGCACCAGCTTTCTCTCAGCCTGGACACAAGGTCCCCAAGAGCTTTCAGGGATGCATGGCTGCTTCTGACAGAAGGGAGATGTAGCAGAAGAGGCCCATGCTGGTTATTAGTTGCAACTCCCCATGCATTGGTACTATTTTCTGCATAGTCCCACATCACCAGCATGCCCGGGCAGCTGCTGATGGACATGCTACATGGATAGGAGGCACAGCATCCTGCTCTGGTGCTGGAGCAGCACAAGCTCCAGTAGCTTCCCAGTCTGCACTCACCTGGGGTGTGAAGTTGACACTGGCTCCACGGTTCAGCAGTAATTGGGCCACACTGAGATTCTCATAGTGGGCTGCAATGTGCAAAGGGGTGAATCCAGTCTAGGGAAAGAAGGAGGGATCAGCCAGCCAGACACATGCTCCCTGATGAAACTATGGATAAATACAGCATACCAAGCTGCTGTTCTCCCTGGGGATGTGGGGAAACTCCCAGAGACAGCATAGAAAAACCACACACCTTGGAGAGGACATCAGCATTGGGGTCATTCTGCAGCAGCACAGCAGCTGTGCGAGTGTCATCATTGCGGGCTGCAATGTGCAGGGCAGGCAGACGGACCTTACCCCTTGTCCCATAGTTGATAAGGTGAGCAACCACATTCTCATGTCCTTGCTGGAGAGCCACAGCTAGTGGAGTGAAGCCATCCTGCCAAGGAGAGGGAGAGAATCAAGGAGCCATGACAGGACCCAGCACATTCCTCAGTAGCCCCCACAAACAGGGCTACAGGCTCCTCCCCAAGGATCTCACCTCTGTGGCTACATTCTGGTTGGCTCCATTTTCCAGCAAGAACTTCACAACTTCCAGGTGGTTTTCCTGCGCTGCCATGTAGAGAGGTGTGAAGCCTTTCTGCAAACACAGGGCCATGTACATCAACACAACTCTTCCTTGTGTTTCTTGAGTTCTTTGAAGACCTACACCCCTATCAACACCCACACTCCCAGGGTCAGTGAACAGGGGCAGAAGCATCCATTGTGGGTGTGAAAAATAAAAAAAAAAAAAACCAACCTGGCAACAGTGGAACAATCACAGAGAGATGGAGCCCAAGGCTCCACATATCCAGAAAAAAACAAGCAATGCTTTATAAGAGTCAACCCAGGAGACACTGCCTTCTGCTCACTGCCAGTATTGTCCCTAGCTTCAGGGACAATTCTCCCATCAGGCCAAACGTGAAGAGCTTACAGCCCAACCAGGCCCAAGGAAGAAAGAGTGAAGGAAGCACAGTGTATTTAACTGCAGGGGCTACTGGAGATCTCAAAGCTTTGCCAGGGAGGCATCAGCCATGAGTTCTCCCAGGATAAGTTCAGCATGCTTGTATGTGTTGACAGGAACTCCTTCAACAGAGACCACGCTGGTGTCCCCGTGTGCCTCCAGACTCCCTCCACACCATTTACACTCTTGTCTCTTTTCAGGAGTCTGCCAGAGCAGTCCTTGCTCCTGAGCAAGACCAGAGAGAAACTGCAAAGGGCTGCTGAAATACCCATGCTGAGCACAGTTCCCACCATTACACATGATGGGTGCCTTCCTGTTTCAGAGCAGGTCACCCTACCTGGGACTGTGCATTGACGTTGGCCCCATAGTTCACCAGCTCCCGGACCACGTCCTGTTGTCCAGCCAAGGCAGCAATGTGCAGGGCTGTGTTTCCCTTCTGAAAGACACCACAGGACAGTGCTCAGGGGCTGAAGCAACCCAGGATGCCAGGGAAAGATGGGCCTGACATGTGCTAACAGGCATGCAAGCAGAGCAGCTGGCCTTTAGGCTAAAGGGAAGACCTTTAGAAGGCAATGCAGCTCTCACTCCACGTTCCATCCCTGCTACCCTTCCAGCTACCCTTCCCATTTGCTGGCCAGGGAAGAGAGTGATTTCATCTCTCCCATGAAGTAACTGGCAGCAGAAGCTGTATGCACTGTCAGGCGCTGTGCATCTTCAGCACTGAAAGATGGGGGGGGGGGAATGGGGGAGCTGAGCTGGCAGTCTTCAGGCAAAACTGCAGTGTGCACCCTCGTAGCCAAGGCATCCCAGCAGATTTAAGGGATGATGAGCAGGCTGGAAAATGCACACACACGCTCTTCTGACTTGTGCCTTTGGGTGGTGTGGCAAAATGCCAGAATGTGCTCTGTGTCCAGAATCCTGTGAGAGCACCAGGGAGGTGGCAACTGAGGCCTCCCCCTGTTCTCACAGCCCTTCAGCTGGTGCTGGAGGCTGCTCATTTGTCAGCCCTGCTTGCTTGTGCTGTTGTCTTGCTTGTCATCAAGAGAAAACCACACCTGCTGTGGTGATGCATGAGAGAACAAGATGTTATTTACGGAGCACCAGAGCTCTCCAGGCTTGTGACAATGGTATTGACGCCATCTCCGTGCTGGAACATGCAGGGGCTGCCCTGGGGCAGCAGCCCCTGCAGGGAGATGTTAATAAGACAGGACTCGTAAATGTTGTGGTTTATGTTACTCCCTTTGAAGTCCACAATCACCCTCACAGGGGAGAGGCAGATCCCACCCACTTGGAGAAGCCAAGCCTGTGCTTAAACCAGAGCCTAGTCCTAGGGCTCAGTCCAGTAGTGCTGCCACTGGCACAGTTTCTCTGGAGGCTGACAGCAAACAGCATGGTCGCTGCTTGGCTACTGCTGGTGTGTGTGGCAGCAATGGCAGGGTGCAGAGCTGTGACCAGTGTGGCCAGATTTCCTTGTCCTTACCTTGGTCGTTGTCTCCAAAACTATCTCCTTGTGCAGCAGCTCCACCACCATTTTCACATGGCCCTCCTTGGAGGCCAGGTGCAAGGCGTTCAGCCCATTCTGGAGGAAGCAAAGGTGGGAAAGGGGAGTTAGTCATCACCTGAGGATGGAGCTCTCCGGGGAGCACCCTGCTCTGAGCTCCTGTGCAGACATGACTGCAGGCATTTGGCCCATGCTTGGAGAAAGTCCATGCTGGTGGGGGCAGGAGCGATTGACCTGTCCTTGAGCTCTGCGCTGACATCCAGCACACCAGCCATGGTGCCACAAGCAGCTCCATGCTGCCAGGAAAACTTCACACAACTGAATGCTGAGTTGCTGACTAATGCTGGAGGTTTCTCCACGAGCAAAACATGCAGCCCACGTAGGCAATTTCCTATGGATGGGCGGTACCACATCTCAGTGTTCATGTGCTTGAGGCACAGGAACTGCTTCGGTCCTCCCTGCTCATGGCACATCCCTCATGTCGACTCCTGTATTTGCTCAAGTGACTTTCCATGGGGTGCCCCTCTCATAGTCAGGTTTTTCACACCTAAAGCACAGAGCTGAGCTTTGTGCACAGCCCAGAGCAAGGATGCACCACAACTGCTGTGTAAGTGTACATACAAACCTTAAATTTTAACATTTACACAGATAGACGTGCAGTGAGAAGCACTGCTTGGGACAATGATTTTATCATGCAGCAGCCAAATTAATTCACAGCAGTTTGTGAGCTTCCAGGCCAGAAGCTGGCTTCTCCCTGGCTTTCAGAGTGCCCACCAGTACCCTGCAGCCCGTGGTGGGCTTTGCTCCCCCAGAGTTCAGCTGTAGCAAAGAGTGTAGAGCTGTTGGCTGTGTCATTGTTAAGCTCTACCAGTTCCAGGAAGCTCCCAAAGAGCTAAAGTGACTTCTCAGGAACATCTCTGTGCGTGCCCCAGTTTAGCTTGCCTTTTTCCTACGCGTGGAACCTGAAGAGCAGACGACTGGCCAGTGCTGCTTTAGCATCCCCAGGTTGTCAGAAGGAGGGGTGCCAGGCCAGATAGCATCCTCAAGGCTACTAAGACAGCTTCTGCTCTGTTATTTCTGACACCCTCTTCCACTTCCCAGATGCGAACAAAAGGGCTGGTATATTTGGCAGAAAAGAGGTTAAATACCTGCAGGCATTTTCAGATGCCACTTTTTCTCCTTGTCCCTCACTTCTCCCAGGTGGATATGCTGGGTTTGCTCACCCCTATTCAGTGTTGTTGCATGGCAGAGGGACACCTGCTCCTGCACAAGTACTCCACCTCCCAGTCATGTGTTTCAACTCCTGACTGGAAGGTGACTTCACAGAAATGCTTCATCCCCACCTAAATATTGGTAGAGGGAGCAGAAAATGCCCAGGGAGGCTCAGTTCCAGCCTAACACTCCAGTTAAAAACAGAACTGCTTCAAGAGTGTTGTCACACTGGAAAAGGGTTTTCCATTCTCTCTCACTGAAAGCACCAGTTGCCCAGGATCATAGCTGAAGAGTCACAGATTCTTTTGCTCAACTCTGATTACAGTACAAGGACCAAAAATCTAAAAACCCACAGGCTTCCTCAGCACACCAACTCCAGAGTTCTATCAAGCCTCAAGCACAAAAGGTCTGCCTCCAAGGGGAGATGAAGTGGGAGTGCTGCAATACCCACAGAACAGTGCCACTGAAAGGAAATGCTCCCCAACCATGTCTGGCTACACTGAGTCCATCTTCTCTGGCCAAGCCCCGTTTCTTTGATGAAGACACACCTACACAACCCCGTACAGATAATCACTGACACCTTTACCTCTGTGAGCTCACAAGTTGGATAAACGGCCACAGACAAGCAAGCTTTTTCTCAGTTACACTCACGTAATAAACAAATGGAGAACAAAACCACAGATGCTCAGCTGCTCCCCTCAGCCCATAAGCCCTTTTATGCAAAGAATTCATAAATAACTTTTTGAATGCTATAAACCTGTGACAAATCATTAACCTGTAAGAAACAGTTGTGCAATAAGCACGGAAGATTGTTTTCATTGATGGCCCATCGGTATTTCTGCTCCAGGAGCAATACAGGCTGTTTTGCACATTTGCTTTGGCTTGACAGCTCATCCAACCCAAAACTGCTACAGGATGCGTGTAATTTGAATAGGGCCGCATTTTCCTCACTAAATGCTGCAAATAATTCCCAGAAATCCCAGTAACTAGCTATCAATGTGACAATGCAGCCCAGCAGAATAACACAGAGACTTTGCACTTAGCCTGCCCCAAAGCAGGGACCTGCTCTGGACTTCTTGTCAGGACTGGCCACCTCAATAAAGACCATCTCCTGGGCACCCACGTGCCACCACGGTGCTGTTCCCAGCTGGTAAGAGTCCTGGCAGCAAGGTGCACTCATTCTCAGTCCTCCAGTTCCTCATGGATGAGATGGGACCATGCTGGAATTTGAAACACGAAAGGTGGATGATGACACTGATGCAGCAATGAAGGAGGTGAAATCGGTGGGATGAAGATCAGATGGCATGTCAAGGTCTCTGAACTTGAGTAAGAATACAGGGCCTGTGGGATAGGTCTGACCACATATATCCCTCTTTATTCTGTACAGGACATGTGAGGTTGGACCTTTCCCACAGGTCTGATATTCCTCAGAGGGAAACCCCAAAGTGCCATCTAACCTCAGGCAGAAACCAGTGCAAAGACATCACTGGGAGAAGAGCCTCATATTGCTGTAGCCATTGTCTTTCCATCAAAGTGTTAAATGCCCTCACCAGCACCAGAAATCTGGCTGGAAACAGGACTTGAAGCCGGTCAGTGGAGATAGCTGATGACAGACCATCTCTTTCGGCGAGGAAGAAGTTTGAAGCCATCCTCTTTAGCTTGTGGATGAGTCACCCTGTTGTAATTCTTTACACAGCCCTCTCCAGAACCCCATACTCCTCTGGGCTAAAGCATTACAGGACTAGTGGACATAGAAATCCTTCCTCTACTTTTAGGCTTGCTATTGGAAGTGAGTGAATATCCATGGTGTACTCTGCTTGCCCTGTGGGAACCTGTCCCCAGTAACTGCCCCTGCTGCCGCAGTGCACAGATCAGTAGGGCTGAACTTCACTTGGTTTGGGGACTTGATACTAAAACAGATGAGTGTGCCTTTGTGCTACCTGCTGAGTCAGCCTCCCCAGCAACACCACTGCTCCAGAAAGCAGTGACAGCACAGCCTGTCTGCTCCCCCTGCTCAGCCTAAGCCCCCTGAATCTGTCCCTACAGCATCTGCCCCAATTCAGGCTCAGCCACTTGCATTTGGCAGCTACACAGATACAAAATGTTCTGATGATGATATGCAAACAATTCCTCAGCGCCTGCAGCTCTTTGCTCCTGCACAAACGTGTTTCTGTGCAGGATGAGCAGGGCCCCTCCTGCCCATCACCTGCCAAACCACCACAACTGGCATTTTGCAAGCATTCACTGCTTGTGATAAGCTACAGCTTCTAGGAATCCAAAAGCCTCAGCACTGCAAGCAAGAGCCATTCCTGTGATGTTCCAGCCACTGTGCTACTCTTCACAGCTGTCTCCTCTGCCCTCTGAGAAGCAGCTGTACTCCTTCCAATTGTCCCATTTGCTTGTCACACTAAAGGAGCCCTCTCTGCTTACCCGTTAATGTTCTTTGCTATGCTCCAGCCAGTACATCCAGGCTCCCCAGATCTTTATAGGTATTGCTGCCCTCCTGGCCCCAAAGACAACTGCTCCAGGTCTGCCCTCTGGTCTGCCACATTTTCACATGAACTAGAGATAGTACCAGGAGCCCTGTGTGTTTCACCTACCTGATTACAGGTGTTAATATCTACCCCATTCCTGAGGTGATCCAAGGCTTTGTCCAGATTCCCAGATCTTGCAGCTCTCAAGAAACTGGTCGCAGCATCGGCCTTGGGGACAAAAAGAAAAAAACATGAAACTCAGAGCCCCCTTGTTCACCCCCATCACCAGCACTGGGTCAGCTCTTCGCTCAGCTGCAGAGAACATAACTACACAGACCAGGTAGAAAAGGCAGAGGCCAGGAAAGTCACAGTGGGAACTGCGGAGACAGACTGAGGTGCCCCAAATCGGACAGGAAGAAGAAGGGCTGGGACCCGGACTTAGAGTGAAGCGCATCCAGATAATGAGGCAGAAGTTCTGCAGCTCATCCCATCACACTATGGGGACAGTAGGGAGGGAGCTCCTGCCACCATGACAGCCTCCTTTGGCCCAGGAAACCCCTCCATGCCTGGGCTGAAGAACTACACTGATGGAGCTGCAGTGAGCCCACCCTACCCTCCTCAAGAACCACTGGATAGCAATAGTGGTGAGCACAGCCCCAGCTGAGCACCTCAAAGCTGGGAAAGTCACAACTCTCTTTTTTGACAGTGCCTCCCTGCTACACCACAGCCAGCCCAGGCAAGGCACAGCAATGCTTTTAGCAACACTACCTAGCAGTGTGAGGCAGCAAATGGAGACAATGGCATGGCTCACTAGAAGCTGGAGAACAGGGTGGAAATGCAGTGATGTGGGTCTGTGAGTCTGGGAACTTGGTCTGGTAACTGGAGCTGGTATGTGCCTGCCCAAAGGGCTCTCTGCTGCCACAAGACATCCATGGCATGGATGCAGGGCACAATCCTCTGTCTTCAGCTCCAAGAGAAAAACAGAGCCCTTCTTGTACCACTCACATCAGGACTGACCAAGGGACCTCCTGTACTAGGAGAGCTTCTGTTCTGCTATCTCAAGTCATCTTGTATTGCCCACGGCCTGGTTGCAGAGGAGCACTCAGGATTAGGAAGCTCCTGGACAGAGGCTGGAAGCAACACAGCCAGAGACAAAAGCACTGGAGGCATATTGAGGATGATACACCACACAGGTTCAGGGCTCCTCTCTTCCCTTCTCTTTGCAGTCTCAGACATTGAATTGGGACTTTAGAGCAGCACAACTCAGATGCCTTCTGGTCTCCTCCATCTGCCCCCGCCCCCCAGCTCATCCTTTCTGCCTGACACTCCTACTACAGAGAAAGGCAGCCGTGCCCTGTTCCCTACTGTAGAGGCAAGGCCCACAGACAGGGTGAGCTGGTCCTGATGAGCCAGGCACAGAGCTCAGGCCAGGCTAGCACAGTGGCAGGGTGCCATGGCCCCTCACAGGTCAGAAGGACAGCTGTGGAGGGCAGCAGCACCGTGCCCCACCACCGTGCGCAGGCTCCGCGTGCGGGGGGAGCACGTGCTGCTGGCGTGACCCCCTGCGCCAGCTGGCTCTGCTTGCTTCCAGCTCAGAGGAGAGCCCCGGCTATCAGGGAAGAGCCCCCAGATTCACAGCAGAGCTGTGGCTTCGGAAGGCTGTGAACACAGAGGAGACACAGCACCTCAGCGCTCTGCTTACACAGAAGGATCAAGTGCAAGAGGCAGAAGGCAGCACCAGCGTTGTGCTTAGAAGTGCACATTCATGCTCTGAGCTCTGCGTGCTGTCTGGGGTCCAGTGAGGAAACGCTGACAGCTTCAAGGAACAGGCTGAATCCAAAGAGCTTTTCCAACTCCAGACACTGCTAGAAGCCTCTGCTTCTCAGGTCAGGATTAACGACAAGGCATCAAACCCTTGGAAAATCAAAGCACAGCTCAGCCAGGCTCTGTCATCCATGGGACACACATGAAGCTCTGAAGATTAAATGGTAAAACTCTACGTGGTCCTGCAGCAAAGGGGCTCCCAGAGCCCCAGCACATCCAGCAGCAGAGACTACAAGCAGAAAGCAAGCAGAAAAGCAAAGCGGAGGTCTCTGTGGGTATGAAGGAGAAGTGTGTTGAATACTCACAGCCACGTCTGGACCGGACCTGCCCTTTCGTGCTGCCATAGTCCAGCACTTCGGCTGAAACCTGAGCCTGGTGTCCCCTCTCTCCCTCCTTGGTTATCTACTCCTCAGCTTTGAGAGAGCCAGTAAGTTACATTGCATTCTATCTAAAAATACAGGCTCCGTCCTCTCCCCAATGCAGACCCTGCAGGGATCGCCAACTGCTAATGGAATTTGTTCATTTTCTCTCCATTATTGTGTCAGACAGGATATTTAATACCAAGCCACCTCCGGAAAACAAATGATTGCTGCCAAGCGCAGGGAGGGGGTCAGAGCTGCAGGTACCACCTCAGGAACAGCAGAGGAAAAGCAGCCCCACAGATATGCCCAGGAGCCTGGCAACTCACAGGTAACTCCTACCGCAGAGGAGAGAGGTTGGGGTTCCCTTCTGACCCTCTGGATGCTGGGGCCCAGGCCTTGGAAAACATGCCAAGGCTGGAGTGTGTCAGAGGTGCTGCCCTTTTGTTCCCCATGCTCAGCCTGTACCGTCCAGAGATGCACAAAGAGATGCAGGGCATCAGACATCAGCTCTCCAACCACACATTCCACCAGAGAAGATGGAGTAGCTCGGTTCAGACAGTAAAAGCAGATCCACAGTCATATTGTCCTTCTGTCGGGCTGCACGATGGGACTGCCTGCCTATTGCTCAGGGCAATTCTGTCCCCAGGAAATGGAAGCATGGGCTGGGTCACTGCCATCTCCTGAATTTCAGCAAAAGGAAGAACTGACAGCAAGAAATGCAGAGACCACGTGAGCACAAGTAGATGTGCGTATGGAGAAGATACACACACATCCCAGTCAGCACCATCCCAACCCAGCCAGCCACAGACACAGGCGTTGCACAGTGATCCCCACCCAGTGACAAGCGCAGAGCGCAGCACAGCCGTGCCTCATGCACACACAGGCACTCGCTGTGTGCCCCAGAACACAGAGCAACTGCTTCCAGATGCAGAAGCTGCCTCTGCTGATTTTCCTTTATTTGGAGTTTGCAGAGTTTCTTTCCATTCTCCTTTGCCTTCCTAGCAATTTTCCAGGAAGGAGATATTCCTGGGGAGAAAATAAGCTGCCTCACTTGCTGTTGCGTACCTCTTCCACTCTTAGGTGGCTGCTAAATGTTATACACAGGCATCATGCAGACAACCAAGCTGTGAAGTGTCAGGAGGCTGCTGCCAGCAATTCTGCAAGAAAGAAGCCTCAGATCTGGACTTTGCTAAGTGGTCCAAGACCTTCTAAAGTCAAAAAACTTAGCATAGCACATCAGACTCTGCTTCTACTCTCCTTCCATTTCTTTTCCTTCAGGAAAAAATCTCCCCTTTTCTGCTGACAATCTAATTTTTTCCCTTTCCTTCTGTCCTGGTTTCAGAGTAAATTTTTTCTCATGACACCCTCTCCTGGCCCTGAAGAGAGGCTTCTTCTGTTCCTTTTCTCAGATGTCCTCCTGCTATCAAAGCATTAATGCCACTAGCCTGGAACCACATGAGCCCATTGCATTGTAGTCATGGCCAGGGCAATAAGCAAAGAGGAAGTGAAACCAGAGGCTCAGGCTGGATTTCAAGGGTTGCAGTCAGAGGTCTGTAAGCCCACTGTGTCTCTGGCCGCAGTCAGTGTCCTGCTCTAATCTCTTTTGGCAGTGCCTGCTCTCACTCACACCCAGGGAGGAGCTCCCATCAGCTCCTGCTGCTGCTCATCACTGATAACAAGGGAGGGTGTCAGCATTGCCTCCCCCTGTTAAAGGTGGCCATACTTGGCAGGAGCTCACTCTGTATGAGCTGCTAAATGCTGTAAGTAGATGATTTCCAAGTACAAATGAGTTCAGGGACTTGTGCTGATCTCACAGTGTTTTCTGGGACACAAAGACAGTCAAGAAGCAACTCACCACACTATTCTAGCCTGGCGCACACACACATCCTGCTGCACTGCCCTCTTTTCCCTGTCTGCCCATTTGTCTCTTCAGCCGAGCTGACACAGACTCATGGAGCAGCAGACAGGAGGTCCAGCAAGGAAACACCCAAAGGCTGGGCAGCACACAGCCATCCCAACAGCCAAAGAACCCCAGGACCAGCAGTGAGATGCAAACCCAAATCCTAGCACCAAACCATGTATTTCTATGGGCATCCTGTCTAGATGCTGTGGAAGGGTCCAACTCACATCTCGGAGGTCGTCCAATTACTTCCAGGTACTAGTGCCAGTGTCTTGGAACCTAAAGTCAGCACTGCCAGCTGAGGACGTGATAAACCCTTGCCAAGGGCAACAGCTCTTGCCATTTGCTTGGACACTTCCTTGCTCATGTGGGCTTGTGTCCAACAGTGGGCATGATCCTCACCTTTGAGGCATTATTTCCAGCAGAAACACCAAAACCTCACATCAGTGTAGTGGTTTACTTTAAGTAACTGTCCAACCTAGGAATGTCTCTGGAGCCAATGCTCATTTGGACCTCTCCACCTTGCAGATATCAAGTGCACAGTTCTGCAGGTGATAATCTCAATCCTTTCTCATCAGATGAGAAGAATTTGTCAGTCCTCAAAACACACTAAAAGAGCTGCTAAGATTAAGAGCAGTTAGGGATAACACCTAGGGTCCCCGTAGGATAATCAGGGAAGATCAGGAGATTCAATTCAAAATGCTCAGAAACAGAAGCCATACTGTCTGTCTTATAGGAACATTCTCTCCTATCTGTATTAACAAAAACTGGATGCTCTCAGTGGGCCCTGCAGCAGAAACAAAACCTACTGGCAGGTTTCTGCCTTCTGAGTAGAAGGCAGCATTCAGCAGAATATAGCATCTCCAGAGAGGCCACATAGCAAAACCTCAGGCAGTCAGCCAGCAGAACACAGAGAACAGGCAGATAATGCAGACCCAGAAGAAAGAAAAAAGCAAAAGCATTGGGAAAATTCATCTCATGGAAGGATAAATCCAAATGCTTAAATTCTATTATTTCATCGTCCTCACCCTTATCCACATGATTCAAGACAGATAAATCCATATGCCAAAGTTCTGTTCTCCCATCATCCTCACCTCTGCCCACCTGATTTATCACAGGTCTGCAGATCTTAATAGGATTGATGAGAGTCAAGGCACAAGAAGTCATCTCTGAAAGGCATCTGCCAAGTGAGTTTCTTCTTATTTCATGCACTAGCCTGCGTAAACCCTTTGGCCATGCTCCTTTCTGCTTAGTGGAGATTTCACAACAGCCCCAAAGCACGTACCACAGAGGCTGATGGCTGATATACCCAGCAGAGATCCCCAAAGCAGGATGCAAGGGAGAGCTCAGCCATCTCACAGCAGGTGAATCAGAGCATGCAGGAAGTGAAAGACCTGTTCATGTTCCCGTGCAAAGGATAGAGCTAGAGAAGAACTCGGCACAACTGGCAAAGGAGAAATCCTAAAGCAGAAGAAGGAGGGAAGGAAGGCCCCTGGCAGGTTTGTGGGAAGGGAAGCGACCTGTCAATTAGCATTTTTCCAGCACGGAAGGAAGAGAGGGCAAGCTTTCTGGTGCCAGCATCAGACTGGACTCCCCACCATGCACAATCCTCCACTATTACATAATCATGAGTGACGAGCTTTTGGAAAGCCCATTTTTGTGCACCCTTAACAGGAGAGGTAGTTCTGGACTGTCACTGGTGGTACAGGTCAGGGTCAAGGTTAACCGAGTTCCTGAGCATTTTCAGATACAGACATCTGCGTTGCCATTTGGTTCCTTCCTTCCTCGGTCCTGGGTCCCCTTTGCTGGCAGTTCCAGCTGGTTCAGAACTGCGAGGAGGGCAGATATCACAAACAGCTTAATCTGCACAGAGCAAGGCTGCAAGGAGCTGCCCCTACCCAGCAGACTGATCTTTCTGATAAGGATCCTCCGGAGGGCTACAGCACACAACTCTGTGAAAGCCTGCAATGCCTGTCTGCTGCCTAATGGATTTTCTAAGTAACATGTTCAAGACCTTGTTCTGTCATTTGCAAACTATCACTTTCCCTTTGAAGTACAATTCTGGGTCCAGCAGCAGTGGAGAGTGAAACAGGGGCTGGTTCAGAGACCTGAACAGGAAAATACCAGAATATCTTTCACACAGAGCCAAAGCGAGGCAAGAATTAACACAGCTACTGCTCCTGCTCCTCAGCTGAGGCCATGCACACCCAGGGGAAAGCTGTCACTCTCCTTTGATGTTAGCAGGAGCCTCTGCTCTCTGCATATCCTGAAAAAGAAAAGCTATTTTTACCTCATCAAAAAATATATAGACTGTGACTGAAGACAATACATGAGAGCTCTTTGCTCAGGCACTACACCTCTTCTAACAACATTTGCAACTGCTGAGAGATGCAGCAGCACAGCAACTGCTTTCTATCTCCTACTTTCCTGACGCACTACCTTTTTTGGTCCATGACACGGTTAAGGCAGGTCTGTGCAATAAACACTGGGGAGTTGAGAGGGCTCTAGCACGCTGCCAGTGCAAGGCTGGAATCAGAGACATGCTCTGAGCCTGCCTGATGCCAGCCTGGGACTAATACACAGCTTCTGGACCAGCCTCAACCTGCCCTGGGCTCTGTCAGCAACCTCATGCTCAGGTGAGGTGCTGGAGTCCAGATCATACGCTCAGGGTCTGCCCTGGTGCCCTGTGGAGAAGCCTCCTTTTCATTCCTAGCGATGCTTATAAACTGCTCCTGATTTGTGCAGTCTGCTCTGACTCATTCCCTACCTCTCCTCCAGCAGGACTAGTCCACACCTGCTTTGCCTGCCTGCACAAACTAAAGCACTTAGAAGGGGGCTTTCTGCTGGGATCTGCATGCTGGGCAGTATCACAGTACAGTCCTTGTGCTGTAGCTACCATGGATTTACTGTCTTGCCTGGCCAGCGCTTGGGGTGCAGCCTCTGGAAGCCATGCAGGGCAGAAAGCATTGACAGAAAAGCACCAGAAGCACAGGCCTGGCAATATATCTCTGCCAGCAGATCCCTGGAGAGGATATGCAAGCAGAGCCGCTCCAGCCCAGGCACCTGCTCCACAGCAGAGCCAGCACAGCACTGTGCTCAGAGAGAAACATCATCCTGTGCACCTGGCCCAGGGCTCCACAGGGCCAAAACAAGGAAGGTGACAACACAGGAATCAACATTCACCATCACAATACTGCAAAAAAACAACACCTGGGACACCTTCCTTCTCCCAGTAAAGCAGTGGTGAGAGGACAAGGCAAATGCAGCACCGAGGGACCTGGTCTCAATGCCAGGCACTGTCACTGGCTCCAAGGATGACCTAAGAAGTGGATGACCTAAGAAGGGCATCAAACCCTTCCTGCCAGTCTGAGGTCCATTTAGCAACAACTCTTTGGGGAGAAGAGGCATTATCTTTGGATTGAAGTTCATATTATCAGCCAGAATATACCTGAACTCCCTCATGCAGACCAGCTGACCTGATTCCTCTCCTCTTTTGCTGCCCAACGAACCCCTGACCATGCCCAAGTACTCACCCTCAGGTAATGCATGCATGTCATCACTGCAAGAGAAGGTCAGCTCACCCTGGACAGCCAGGGTCTGCAGCTCTGATCAACCCACTTATGCTGAATGCTGCAGCCAAACCAAGCATGAGCAGGCTGGAAGAGGTTTATCAGCAGCTGGACTGCACCCTATCACCACTACACACCTGACTGCAAGCCAGCACAACAAGGAAGCTCCCGTCTGGAGTCTGGAGATTACGGGTTGTCCTACGTCAGGAAACTGGGGAGAGTGGCCAGGCTGTGCACAGTGTTTAGTGAATGTCATGCCTGAGCCATACTTCATAAACATGTCTGTGAGCCGTTAAGGGAGAAGCTCATGTTCATGACCTCTTAGTAGTACAAGGGAAGATGAAACTTCTGCAATATAAAGCAAAATGAAACAGCTCTGTGGCCAGAATCACACTGTCTCTTGGCATGTGCCACACAAAGCAGGCTGGGCTGGAGACAGTGAGCAGAAGACCTCAGGTTTTTCACAGGTCCCTGCAGACCTTGGCTGGGCACAGTCCCAAATGGAGGACACCGAGATGGAACTGAAGTAGCAAATGAGGTCTAGTGACAGCAGGTCCAGGCTCTTTGTAGGGCCTAGAGCCCACTACAATACAATGAACGCGCCCCTTCCCCCCTTCTACCTGCACAGCAGACTCCTGCTCCAGCATCCCTTCAGGAGATCCTTGCTTGCAGCAAGAAGGCAAGGGGTCCACAGTGGTTGGTGCATGCCCTCTCTGAAAGACACGCAAGGGAGTCACACCAATTGTCCAAAGGAACAGAGCTCCTGGAGACCACTCCCATCCCACCCTTTTCTTGTGCTCCACCTTGGGGTGACCCTGCAGAGCAGTGATCGCCTGGCTGCCAGGAGTCATCCCTCTTGCTCCTGCTTTGCCTATTCCATCCTGGCTCCAGATACTAAACTGGGGCCAGCCTGGCAAAGGACTTGGGGTGCTGCAGGGGAGCCACACAGCTCGGTTTCTATTTCCAGCTACCATTCACCTGGCCCTTTTTGCCAGTTATAGGGTCAAGAAGGACAAGGTGCTTCCAGCCAGGAACTAGGGCCAAACCAGTGAAGGCACAGCCATGAGGTGATCACACCTGGAAAGGCCTGGGCAGTATATAGAATAAATACAGCTTGTGACATTTGCAGCTTCGAGAAACTGCTTTGCCAGCTGTATCTCTCTAGGGAATTCCTACAAAACAGCCCAGCCCACCACCAGAAAAGCTTGTATGAGCTGAGAGGCAGGAAAAGTAGATCAATAGAACATGTTAGGATGGCAAAATGCTTTGCATTACATAGGAATTGAGAATTTTATACTGAGAAAAGACCAAGTTTAGCATTAGAGCAAAGCTGAGTCCTTACCTCAGTCTAGGGAAAACACCTTCCCTTTGTCCAGAGTCATTCAGCACTTCATTGACAGTCTGGATTCCCTCTGATATTTGAAATAGAAGAGACTCCACCTTCAGTTCAGGTAGAACTCAAATGTTTGTTGCCAAAAGGATGGGCACTGCAACTGCTGGCACACTGCATTTGCTCTAAGAAGTGCCGCTGCTCTGAACCTGCAGAGTTGGTGTCTATCAGTGCCTCAGATCCTACTTCACTCTGTAGCTGCACATCGTGAATGCAAACACAAGTCCACACTCTGACAGAGGCCATTACCAGCCAGAGCTCATGAACTGATTCGAAGTTTCTCCCTCAGCATAATGCAAACTTTCTCCATTTCGTGCATCCACCAGGAGAGTGTATACACTTGACAAAGCCTAACCTGTGCCCTACAATCCAGATAGGCTTACCTCCTAGCACACCTCAGGGAAAAGCAGTGTTACAGTGCCCATGAGATTGCCTCCCTCACCCCTCCCATTTTGAGATTCAGGCTGGCTTTGCTTTGTGCAATCTCTGGCACTGGTGACTTTCACAAACCCAGAATAGGGAAACTCAAGCAGGGGACAATCCCCACGACAGCAAACCTGTTAGCCAGTCTTAGACTGGCTCAGTCCTACAGATTTCTGGTAATCCAGTGATGCCTCATACCCTCCACAGAGATGGAGAGAGGACAGGTAAGTCCTGCACAATGCTGGAGGGAGCACGGGGCTCACCTTTGCCTCTGGCACAGGACTCCCTTATGCACACCCTTTGCCCACAACCACAGCAGAGTGCAGGGAAGGAAGGCCTGTGACTGTGTGCAGGGTAGGAAGCAGCTCTGGTGATTGTGCAGTCTGGAATGATGACCACACTGTGCTGTGGCAGACACAATAAGATGGAATTGCCCCAGGTCCCCACCACTGAGGCTGAACCTTTCTACCACGGTGAGGAATGAGAAAAGCACCTAAATACAACATCTCTGCAGGTCAGAGCTCCTCTGACAGAGAAATATTACCTTTAGGTATGGTCCTGGCAAGTTTGGCCAAGCCACAAAGTCTCTGCTTTCCCACTAAGACCTGGAGTTTTAACTGCAAACAGCTCTCAACAACTTCCCCACAGCTCAGAGCTCAGGTCACTGAGGTATCCTCGGCCATTGGTGACACCCACATGGGTTGGCAGGTCACAGGCTGCAGCAGACCCATGGATCTTGAGGCAACTGTATGGAGTTCACAGCACTGATTACTATCAGTCACATATCTATAGCTCTAAAAGTAAAGGTGATTTTGGGAGCATGAGTGAAGGGGATCCTGTGAGGTACCTGTTTGTTTTCCACCTTCTCTGAAGATGGGGGAGAAGAGAGCACTTTGCCTTCAGTATGTACTAAAAACCATTTCTTTCCCAGGCTGTTTGTGAAGCTGGTGCAAGCTCTATCTATAACAAAACTGGTCTCTTTGCTCCATTAATTGCTGTCCCTTGTTAATTGTAATTCCTGAACACTTCCCATTGTTGCCTCTAATAGGGCTCATTCACTCATTACCACCTCACCTGAGGCATCTCCAAGAGTTACACCTAACTGTAGACAGGTGAGTTGCATGTATCAGTGTTGAAAACACATACCTCAGAGCAACTTGCTTTACTAGCAGTTTGTCACTGTTATCTTGCCTGCTACATCTAACAGGAACATCTTGGCAGCTCTGGAGAAACCAACACTATGGACACAACCCTGTATGAGAAATCAGAGCCTGTGAGAGCTTGAAAAATAACAAATACAACTCAAATAAATGAACAGCTTTTAATTCCAAAAGGTCTTTGCATTTTCATGAAAACACCTCAAAAAAAAAAAAAAGAAAAAAGAGATCTCAGACAGTTCCTTAACACTCACCTGTTTCCAGATGCTGAACTGAGATTGTCTGGATTGCTCTTTCTCCAGAATTTTATTCTGTATCCTCTCCTTAGTGACATCTGAGCTTATGATTGTTACCATAAAGGCTTCAGAAACAACTGAAGGTGGATTCAGTGTCATGTTGTACTCACAAAAGCTAACACAGAGCTAAACTGGGGCTCTGCAAAGGGACATTATTTACACTAGAAAAAACAGGAAAAATGTCTAAAAAAGAGCAAATTCATGTTGAGAAAAAGTGACCAAGAATTACCATGAATAATGCCAAATAACAACCTCTGGGCACCCCTGTGGGCTTTAGGGATTTTTCACAAGCCAGGATTCCAGTATTCTCTTAAGTGCTGTTCCCTGGGTGCTATAATACTTATCATACCCACATGAAAGCTAATTTCTCCCTCTGCTATCCTGAGGCAGTTCCTGGGACAAGGCCCAGCATCCCTGTGCCTCAGTGCCATTGCATTCTGGGTTCACACCTGAGATGAAAACATTGAATTCCAGCAGCAACTTCAGATAGTCAGGGGTGAAGAGAAGCTCTGTCAGAAATTTAGGAGGCAGAGGTCTCTGAGGAGAACTAGTCCTTCAGCTACAAAGAGCCTTTTTTTTCCAGGATACAAATTTCTGCCTCTGACCTTTGGAGAACTCTTCAGCTGTGTGATGATGTAGCTGTGAAGGAATGCAAGGCTCCTTCCTCGGTTTTGGTATCTGCCATGTAACCAGAGAAGTGACTGCTCAGAACCAGGCACTTGCTGGCTGCTACCAGTCTGTCCTCAGCTGTTCTTCCTTTCATTTAAGGGAATGAGGAGTGTAAATGTGTACAGCGGAGAGCCTTCAACACCTCACCTTGGAGAGGAATAAATAACATAAAAATGGGCTTTAATATTCCGAGGAAGCTGTATGTGCCTGTGCCCGGGAAAGGAAGCACAGCCCCTCCCGAACCCAGCCACTTAAGAAATGATGCCAGGTTGAGCCCAGGGCTGCAGCCATTGAAGGGAGCTGCTCCCCCCCCGAGCAAGGGGTACAAGGACATGGATACTCAAGGGTTCACCTTACTCCAGCATGTCCCATTTGTCCTTAGAGAGGAAAACTCCCTGTGCTCCTGTCACCTGCTGAGGCTCCCAGGACCAGCTAGGCTCCCAGGTTCCAGTCAGCAAGCTATTATCTCAGGAAACGTCAATGTAGTTTTAAAGCTGAGTCAACAACAGAAGCTGAATAATTTAAATGTTTAGCAATTCTGCTACTGCTGCCCAGCCATGGATAACAGAAAAACACAGAAAAACAGTGGCACTGTCAGGCCACTTCTTCCTGTTGGGAGAGAGCAGCAGTGATGCAGGCATAAATAAGTGGATAAGGATGCTCTGCAGAGCTGAGATAGATGCTGCTTTGCTTTCCTGTGGTGTTTGTGGCTTCTGGCATGGTGATTCCTGACTTCACAGGAAGTCCATAGGTGCCGCTGGTGCTCAGCTTCCAAAATGCTGGAATCATCAGCCATGAGCAACAGAGGAAGCTTGAGGGGTCCACACCCATATCTGCTCTTCACTTTTCCATCTGAGGAGGAGCTCTGCAATGTGATGTGGTGGGAGGGAGACAAAGATCTGCTGTACACAAATATTCCAGCCCTTGCTCTCTAGCTGCCTCTCTATCTCCTTTGTTGTTGGGGGGAGGACGGGAAAGCCAATTTTAGGTACTTCTCTCCAAATCAGTCTAAAAACTGGCA